GCCGGTTCAATTCCTGATCAGGGTACATGCCTGGGTTGCATGTTCAGTCCCTGAGCAGGGCACGTATGAGAGGCAATCTATCTATTTTTTTCTCTCACATCCATATTTCTCTCCTTATCTTCCTCCCTCCCTTCCCCAGTCTAAATAAATAAATAAACAAACAAATGCATGAATGAATGAATAAAATCTTTTTAAAAAATGTTCTCTGAAGATAAGCTCACAGATTGGTAAAGTCACTTAGCCAGAAGTTTTCTATACTGTTTCCGACCAAATCTATCCTTCGTGTTAATAGTAAGTAGAAGAGTAAGTTAATCTGCCCTGACTAGTGTGGCTCAGTAGGTTGGGTGTTATACCTCAAACCAAAAGGTCACATGTTCAATTCCCAGTCAGGGTATTTGCCTGGATTATGGCCCAGGTCCCCAGTTGGGGGCATTTGAGAGGCAGCTCATCCATGTTTCCTTCCCTCTCATTTGCCCTTCCTTCACCTCTCTCTAAAAATAAATGAATAGAATCTTTATTTTTTTTAATTGATTATGCCATTACATTTGCTCTATTCCCCCTCCCTTCCCCTCCACCCTGCATACCCCTCCCCCACCATTTCCCCCTTTAGTTCATGAACATGTGTCTCAAATTCTTTAGATTCTGTATTTCCCCCTACTATTCTTACCCTCCCCCCTATCTATTTTCTATCTACTGTCTGTGCTACTTATTTTCTGTACCTTCTCCCCCCTTCCCCTCCTCCCACTCCCCTGTTGCTAACCCTCCATGAGATCTTCATTTCTTGGTTCTGCTCCTGATTTAGCTATCCTCTTAGTTTGCTTTTGTTTTAGGTGTGGTTCTTAATAACTGTGAGATTGCTGACCTTTCACTGTTCATCTTTTTTATCTTCTTTTTCTTAGGTAAGTCCCTTTAACATTTCATATAATAAGGGCTTGGTGATGATGAACTCCTTGAATTTGGTCTTATCTGAGAAGCACTTTATCTGTCCTTCCATTCTAAATGAAAGTTTTGCTGGGTAGAGCAATCTTGGTTGTAGATCTTTGGTTTTCATGACTTGGAATACCTCTTTCCAGCCCCTTCTTGCCTGGAAGGTCTCTTTTGAGAAATCAGCTGACAGTCTGATGGGAACTCCTTTGTAGGTGACTGTCCCCTTATTTCTTGCTGCTTCTAGGATTCTCTCCTTCATTTTAATCTTGGCTAATGTAATTATGATGTGCCTTGGTGTGTTCCTTCTTGAGTCCAACTTCTTTGGGACTCTCTGAGCTTCCTGGATTTCTTGGAAATCTATTTCCTTTGCCAGATTGGGGAAATTCTCCTTTATTATTTGTTCAAATAATTTTTCAACTGGTGGTTGTGCCTTTCCCCCTTCTGGTACCCCTATAATTCGGATGTTGGAACGTTTAAAGATGTCCTGGAGGTTCCTAAGCTTCTCCTCATTTTTCTGAATTCTTATTTCTTCATTCTTTTCTGTTTGATCATTTTTTTCTTCCTTCTGGTCCACTCCCTTGGTTTGAGTCCCAATTTTCTTTCCATTACTATTGGTATCTTTTGTATCAGCATTCATTTCAATTAATTTAGCTTCCATATGTTTCTCTAATTTGTGACTAAAATCAACCAGTTCTGTAAGGATCCTTATAACCAGTGTTTTGAACTGTGCATCTGAAAGACTGGCTATTTCTTCATCACTTAGGTCTATCGGTTCTGGGGCTCTGAGTTGTCCTAGAGCCATTTTTGGTCTATTCGTGCTGTTAAGTGAGCGGAGCGAAGCCTTAGTTGTTTACCAGGACGGGGCGACCCAGGTCGCTGGTTTGTGACGCTGTGTGTGGGGGCGGGGTCAGAGAGGGAGCAATGGCGTTCCTCTCCGCTAGCCCAGCGCATCCAGTCACTCACACGCCTCGGGCTTGCTTATCCGATCCTAATTGTGCGAGCCTGCTGCACCACGCGGGTTTCCCTTCTCACTGGTTTCTCCGCACGTAAATGCGCGCGACCGACCCACCGCGCCTCTTCCCTGTGCGCTCCGGCAGCCAGCTGGCTGGCGATCAGCGCCCTCGGTTGCCTGCGCGCACCGCCCCGGGAATTTTTTCTTGCTAACCTGCTCTGCTGCTGGCCTCGCTCCTCGTACCGGTCCAGCCGAGTATCTAGTTGTCCTTTGGACTCCTTATTGTCGATTTTCCGTGTGGCTTGGTTGTGACTGCTGTTAAAAATAGTTGTTCTTAGATTTGGTTGTGCACAGAGGTGAGGTGGATCCTCCACCTACTTCTCCATCTTGGCGGAAGTGAATAGAATCTTTAAAAAAATGAGTAAGGTAATCTGAACTTTACTACTACGTATACTTCACTGGTGAGTACCCATATAGAATTTTATATGTTGTTAAAATTACGTAGGTTTGACTTCCGCCAAGATGGAGGCGTAGGTGGAAACACTTTGAATCCTCACACAACCAAATCTAAAAACAATAAAGTTTTAACAACAATAAATGCAATCAAACCACACAGAAAATCAACAATACAGAGTCAGAAAACAATGAACTGCTCAGCTAAATTGGTGAGAGAGGTGAAGCCAGCAGCGGAGCGGGTCAGGCAGAAAAGATCCCCCGACCCAGGCAGCTGAGGGCACGGATCCTAGGTGCGGGCTAGCTATGAGTGGACACAGGGAAGAGGTGTGGCTGGCTGTCTGTGGTCAGTCGCCCATTTGCGCGCAGATAAACCAGTGAAGAAGTGAGCATTGAGACCGCATGGTACAGGGCGGTGGGCTGGCACATTTGCACTCAGATAAACAGGCGGGGGCAAGCAGTGAGGTGGACTGGGAGAGCAGAAAGGACCGCCATTGCTCCCTCTGTGACCCCACCCCCACATACAGTGTCACAAACCAGCGACCTGGGTGGCCCCACCCTGGGGAACACCTAAGGCGCCTCTCCTCATATGTAATAGACACAAACAGATAAAAACATGGCTCAAGAACAACTCAGAACCCCAGAGCCAATAAACCTAAGCAATGAAGAAATAGCCAAACTTTCAGATGCACAGTTCAAAACACTGGTGATCAGGATGCTCACAGAACTGGTTGATTTTAGTCACAAATTAGAGGAACATATGAAGGCTAAACTAATTGAAATAAATGGTAGTGCACAGGAAACCAACAGTAATGGAAAGGAAACTGGGACTCAAATCAAGGGAGTAGACCAGAAGGAAGGAAAAAATGACCAAACAGAAAAATATGAAGAAACAAGAATTCAAAAAAATGAGGAGAGGCTTAGGAACTTCCAAGACATCTTTAAACGCTCCAACATCTGAATTATAGGGGTACCAGAAGGGGAAGAGGAACAGCCACCAGTGGAAAACTTACTTGAACAAATAATAAAGGAGAATTTCCCCAATCTGGCAAAGGAAATAGACTTCCAGGAAATCCAGGAAGCTCAGAGAGTCCCAAAGAAGCTGGACACCAAGGCACATCATCATTACATTAGCCAAGATTAAAATGAAAGAGAGAATTCTAGAAGCAGAAAGAGATAAGGGGACAGTCACCTACAAAGGAGTTCCCATCAGACTGTCAGCGGATTTCTCAAAAGAGACCTTACAGGCAAGAAGGGGCTGGAAAGAAGTATTCCAAGTCATGAAAACCAAAGACCTACAACCAAGATTGCTCTATCCAGCAAAACTTTCATTTAGAATGGAAGGACAGATAAACTGCTTCTCAGATAAGATTGAATTCAAGGAGTTCATCATCACCAAGCCCTTCTTATATGAAATGTTAAAGGGACTTACCTAAGAAAAAGAAGATAAAAAAGATGAACAGTGAAAGGACAGCAAACTCACAGTTATCAACAACCACACCTAAAACAAAAGCAAATTAAGAGGACAGCTAGATCAGGAGTGAACCATAGAAATGAAGATCACATGGAGGGTTAGCAACAGGGGAGTGGGAGGAGGAGAAAGGGGGAGAAGGTACAGAAAATAAGTAGCACAGACAGTAGATAGAAAATAGGGGGAGGGTAAGAATAGTAGGGGAAATACAGAATCTAAAGAACTTGAGACATGCGTTCATGAACTAAAGTGGGGGAAATGGTGGGGGAGGGGTATGCAGGGTGGAGGGGAACGGAGGGGGGAAATAGAACAATGTAATGGCGTAATCAATAAAATTTTAAAAATAAAAAAAGAAAAGAAAATCATAAGGAAAAGAAAATACATTTACAGAACCATATGTATTTATTGAAAAACTCCACAATTAACTGACCTGCATAGTTCTAACCCATGTTGTTCAAAGGAAAACTGTACTTAAAAAAAAATAGGAAAAATAAATAAATCATTAGATACTAATTTTTTCTAAATACTTTTTAGATGCTGTACTTGAAACTACCATGGACTCTGATGCATTTAATACAATGCTTTAAAAAACATTGGTTGGCTGTATTTGGATTAATTATGGAAAAGAACTTGCTTTTAACTGTTGAGAGCTTACATGAAAATCTCTGTACAGGTATGAATCTTTCATTTTATTTTTAGCTGTGTTTTATTAAAGTGAGACTAGTAAATATCGTCCATAGAATGTGAAGATAAATTAATAAAAATGTTATCAGTTTAAAAAATTAAATAAATAAATAAATAAATAAATAAATAAATAAAATTACGTTGGTTTAAGAGTGTAGAAAATGTTTAAGAGCATTTGAAGTGTTTATAAGACCGTGAGAAAGGTTAATAAGGGAGTGGGAAAGGTTTATAGGAGTGTGGGAAGGGTTTATAAAACCTTAAAATATATACAAATAATAAAATAAATATAACGCCACTACTTCACAGATTTTCATCTATCACAGGGGTCTCTGGAACGTAACTCCCGCAATAGGTGAGGGATCACTGTATTGTATTTCCCTTTCCCTACTGATCTTTGGCAGACGAGTTAATAAAGAAATATAACCAACAGCAGATAGCCATGTGGGAGGAGAAGCTGAAAGCGGAGATGGTCTCACACACTGTGTCCCCCAGACAGGTAGGAGCTTTACCAACCTCAGTAGGTCTCTTGATCTTCTGTTCAAAGACCTCAGTTTTACTAGAAGCTGCGGTTGCCTCCTCATTGTCATCATCTGGTAGAAAACACTCCCATGTGCTTAATAAAAGGTAATAAGTGTAAAAAGTTTTCAGTGCTAGGGACAGTGAGTGTAACAAAACAAAGTATTTTAATTTTAATTTAAAAAATACCCAAAGTATTATAATACAATAAAGTATTTCAGCACCAGTACCTGCTCCTGAAAGTTACATTGTTGTTGCTGGATTACAGAGAAAAAGGGGAAGTTTAAAAAGCATGTCTGACTTTAGGTCAAACCACCTGCATCCCAGGCCCCCAACTCCTTCCTGTCCCAAGAAGGGGAGACTGGCACGGCTGGGACAGCAGCAGCGTCCTGAGTCATGACACAAGGCGGGCAGGTCTGAGCACCGAACAGGGAGTTTCAGCACCGTCGGGCTCTGAGCTGCACAAGGCAAGGACCACATTGGTCAGACTCTCCACTCCCACTGTCTGGGACTGTGCCAGGTCAGTGAACACAATAAATGAAGGTGCTCGATATTTCTGGAGGGCAGCTTGGCATATACAACCCAACTTCAAATGTCTACACAATTTGACTAGTGATAGGCAATCTCTGAGTTAGCCTGCTTATTAACGTAGCTGAGTGTTCAATGAGAAGGAGCAAATGAGGGTCCTCATACTTCCTCATTACCTACAGCAGAGTCTCCTGTGTGCTACCAAGAAAATAGGCACACGGATAAAACAACCAAGATTTTAATGTTGAATGACATTTTTAAATGCAAATTTACTATTTACATATTAGAATATCGCTAACTTCTCTGATGCCTCTTGTGTTTGCTTGATCTCAAAGGAAAGGAAGGAAAGTGAACAATAAGAGCTGTACCTCTTCTGGATACTGACGGGTCCACTTCTACACCTTTTTCAGCAGGGGTGCCACCATTCAAGAAGAGCTCGTAAGTCCTAAAAAGAGTGGTAGGCTGTAACGAACACTTTGAAACACTGGAGTCACAAGTCAATTATTTTTTAGCACAGACGCACTCACAGATATTTTATTTCTTTCACTGATCATCGAGAATGAAAGTTAATCCTTCTGTGGGGCATCATCTCGGTAAATAAGGTCTCTTTCTTTTTTAACTATTAACAGTAGAAATATATCTTTCCACATTAACATGAGAAAGATTATTGATGTCATTAAAGTATTTTGCCTTCAATGACTTATTTTAAATGATTTTTAAAACATTTTAAATCATCATTTCAATTAAAGCCATTATGATTTCATACTATTTTTAAAATATAAAAGTTACATGTGTGGGTCAGTGTGTTTCAGTGGACTGAGTGCCAGCCTACAAGCCAAAAAGTTGCCAGTTTGATTCCCAGGCAGGGCACATGCCTGGGTTTCAGGCCACGTCCCCAGTTGGTTGCCTACAAGAGGCAACCAGTCGATGTATCTCTTGTACATTGATGTTTCTCTCCCTCTCCTTCTGCCTCCCTCCCCTCTCTAAAAGTGAATACATAAAATATTTTATTTATTTTTAAAGAGAGGGGAAAGGAGGGAGAGTGGGAGAGAAACATCAGTGTGTGCTTGCCTCTCGTGCGCCCTCTGCTGGGGCCACAACCCAGGCATGGGCCCTGACTGGGAATCGAATCAGTGACCCTTTGGTTCACAGGTCAGCACTCAATCCACTGAGCCACACCAGCCAAGGTTGAATAAATAAAATCTTTTTTAAACAAGTTACATGTTGATTGTTGTAACAAATTTGAATGGCATAGAAACTGTAAGTGAAAAATGAAAGCTACCTCCCTCCCATCCCCCTCTAGTTTGGTAGCCCCTGGCCCTATCTTTCTCTTATGCAAATGCAAACGAATACACACAGCAGTTAATCTCAAACTGAACACTGTCTTTTCAAGTTGCCAATGGCTGAAGTGTAGAAAACAGAAGGTGAAAGGCCTGTTTAACCCCCACTCCTTGCTGCTCAGGGGCAGGCCGGGGGACCCATTCACACAAACCCACCACATATGCACAGTTTCTCATGAACTGAAGTGGAGTCACAGTGTACATACTATTCTGCTACTCGCTTTTTTCATATAATAATATACACTGGAAATGTTTCTGTATCAACACACAGGCCTCTACCTCATTTAAGAAAATAGCTGTGACTTCACTTTAGAAAAGATTGAATAGACATACCTTTCCCTCCAACTAAGTACAACTAAAACTCTGAACATTATTCAAACCCCAAACCCCAAATCATAATTAGGTTGGGCTTCTACATCTTCTGGGGGGGGTACAGAATAGGGATGATAAAGTCCCCCACCCCCTTCTGCGGGGGGACATGGGAGGACTAGTGGAGTCAGGGTTTCCACCTCTGTCCTGTGGTAAGGGTGTCCTGTCCACCCTGTGGCTTCAGTAGAGGTGGAGGAGGAAGCATATCCTGACTTAAACCTTTGGCGTTAGAAACTATGACACACCCCCCCCATTCTAATACTGGAGGAAACTGTGACTTAATTACAAAGACACAGGGGAACTAGAGCCCCAAATTTTGTGCAAATCTGGGTCTTCTTCATCCTCCTCCTGACTGCCCAGCTGTATCTCTGTGTGAATTTCCTGTTTATATCCCAGGCTTGGATTTCTATGTGTATGGCCACTTTAAAATTTAAACTGTCTTCTCGATTTTTGAGAGCTCTTTTTATATTAGGGATAATAATCTCCTGTCATGTATACACAGAGTATGGCAAAAGTAGGTTTACAGTTGTTCATATATAAAATAATACAGTAATAAATAATACAAGAATAGTTCTGTTTCACACACTCACACTGTAAACTAATTTGCCCCGCCCTCCAGTCTGCCTTTGGTGCTGAGTCTGCAGCCTTCCTGCGTGGCTGCCCTGCCGGTCCCGCTGCGCCTCCTGTGGGAGGGAGGAGGAGCCACACAGGGCGGACGGGACTCCGCTGTCCCTCCGTGGAGGGACCGGGGCTCTATGTCAGCGCTGTGAAAATTGCTAATTCCAGAGGCAACTACTGAAGATCGTCCTCGGCAGACAGCGGGTACAAACGCACTTCAACATCCCTTTGCGACATGTCACATCTCCTGCCTAGCAGGAGACTGTTTTCACATGCTGCCTAAAGGAATATTAAAATCATTAAATCCCTCTCCCCACAGGTTTGTGAAATGCTAATAGATACACTCCACAAACCTGAGGTATCTAGATTCTAAAAATTACTCATTTGCAAGGAATATACAGCCAACTTACTTTGCTGGAATAGGAATTCCACTTGCATCAAAAAGTTTAAGAAATACCCAGCCACAGCTTAATTCTCCTCTTTCACCAGTTGACTAGGAAATAAAAAAAGGCAGATGAAACCATATCAGAAGCAGTCAAATTTATAAGCACATACCTTTTAAAGAAAAAACCTAGTATTCACTTTAAAGTTCTTCACAAGAAAATGAAGTGAAGCACAGCAGAGTCCCTGTGCCTGCAGCCCACCTGGTGATGCCAAGGCCTGTCAAGTTAAATTACTCTTGAAAATCCTTAGGACGATGTGGCAGCTGCTGCTCCAGTCTCTTGAGTGACGTGTGTGATAGAATGTGCTCAGATCACATCGACACCATATGAGACCATGAAGCCTTGTTTCCCTGACAGATAAAGTCAAATTATTCAAGGGTCTTTCTGCTCAGAACTTTGCCCAGCTGTCAACTGTCAGAGGCCACTAGGGCTCACACAGGGGACACACTCTCTCCTGTCCTACCCATACAACAGATACAGAGGAATCTGCCTTAGAGAAATGCAAGGACGGTGCAACACCATCAGTGTAAGAAGAGTGGGCTCATGACCACCAGTGTACATGGAACACCTTCAAGCTATTAGACTACAGGGGTGGATGATTAATATTACAGACCAACACTCACTGGTTCAGTGGTTTATATGATGTTAAGTTAATCCAAGTTTCTGGAGTTCCCTTTAAAAACCACCGCCCTCCCAGAGCCCTTAGTTTGAACCCACATGCACAAAGAATAAATGGCCCATTAAGACACAAACCGCTGTGGTGGAATGCCACCAAAAATTTTCTACCACTTCCTGCAGAGTCCCATCCTTTCCATATTTTCATTCTTTTTAAAGCACTGGAGTTCACTCAAGCTATAAATATAAACAAATACACTCTTATTTATTTTTATTTTCTCCTGCTCAATATTTCCCCCCCTTTTTCACTACTATGAGAACACTGATTTTTTTTTTCAAGAATGGAAGGGCAATATGCCCAGCTAAAAAATACTTCCTTTCCAGATATTTTTCAGCTAGAGGTGGCCATATGTCTCACCCAGCTATTCAGATACTGATGAATATTTCTGAGTGGGGCCTCACAAAAATCTTTTTAATGGAAATACATTGGTTTGTTTTACTTTTTTCACCTTCTAAGCTCTTAGTCATGTTTAGGATTATAGGTAATAGCTGCTGAATTGTGGCATACTTCATCTAGGTGTAAATTATATATTATTTGCAGATGTCCTCTAAAAATTGAGCTATGGCTTTGTTGCCACTGTTCTTTCAGTAAATATTGAGGCTATTTTGCTTGTTTAAAAAGGTTCTTTCTTTTGGTCACAAATCATTGGATAGTAAGCCTTTCTGGTGTTGCTCAGTAATGACATCACTTTTTTCCTTTCTACATTTTCACACACCACACCTGGCAACCATCAATCTGTTTGTCATCTGTACCTATGAGATTGGTTTTTGTTATTTTTAGATTCCACATATAAGTGAAATCATATGGTATTCGCCTTTCTCTGTGTTATTTCACTTAGCATAATGCCCCTGAGGACAATCTATGTTTTTGCAAATATCAAGATTTAATTCTTCTTTATGGCTGAATAACATTCCATTGTATATACAGGGTCTGACACAAATAACACCCCTTTTTTATTTCAAAATCTTTTATAACAAAATTATAAGAATGAAATTCTGTAATATAACAATACCCTACTCAAACACACCATGTGACATTTTAGGTGCAATGTTCAAGTTAAAATGATAAATTATTACATCCATATTACTACCCTACCAACCACACTCGGGCAGGCATTACTTCTGCCGGACCCTGTAAGTACCACATCTTCTTTATCTGGTCATCTACTGATGAACACCCAAGTTATTTCCATATCTTGACTATTGTAAATAATGCTGCAATAAACACAGGGATGCATTCATCTTTTCAAATTAGTGGGTTAGATTTCTTTGGATTAAATGCCCAGAAGTTAAAGTGCTGGGTTACATGGTAATTCGATTTTTAATTTTCTGAGGACCTTCCACATTGTTTTCCATAGTGGCTGCACCAATTTACAGTCCCACCAACGACAACTACACGCGGGTTCCCTTTTCTCCACAGCCTCACCAACACTGCCTACTTCTTGTCTTTTTTATAACAGCCACCCTGACAGTGTGAGGTGATAGTTTGTGGTTCTGATTTGCATTTCCCGTGATTAGTGACCATGAGCATCTTCTATACTTTAATATTAAATGCTACCGCACAAGCAACACATTTATAAAATTTAAATCACTACCATTCCCATTCCTCAAGAACTAAAATTCTATCACACACAAAAATATCAATTATTTTACTTATAAATACAGGCTTTAAAAAATCTTTTTTAACTAATATAATACATTAGAAAGCTTTTTCTTTCAACTGACATACATTGCGAATATAAGAAATTCCAAGTTCAAATAATATGCCAAGATCTGGAGATGAAGAATTGGACCTGATAAAACAATCACCATCAAGCAAGCATGGCAAGGTGCCAGTAACCTGAAACAATAAGAAAACCAATGTTACCAATAAAAATTAAAACTGGGAGGGAAGTTTTGGCCCCATTCACCTGTACGTGGCTTATGCTTTTGCACCACCGTAAAGGTCTTTTGAAGGAAACAAAAAGCAGATGGACTAGACTTATCTACACCAATGATTTGAAACTTAAAACTTTAACTTTGTTTTAAAGGGAAATACTTTTAACTTCACTTACCCTCTCCTTAGAGAGGTTAAGTAAAACAAGTACTATGCCTAGATCCTTGGAGGTGTGACAAAAATCATCTGCACATATAAGACCTTTATACTAACCATTGTTCTTTGTAAACAGAACTAAGGTCACCTTTCCTGAAGCGTGCCCTGTAAAATCCCCTTTCCCTTACCTTATGCTCATTCTATTCCCTCTCTCAGAACAACCACATCCCTCTTTCCTGCCTATAAAATCTCACCCATCCTTCAAGGTCTCGTTTCTCTTCTACAAAACCTTCCTGCACCTATAATTAAGTTCACCCTCTTCTGTGCTTCCACAGCACCTGGAATCCCACAACTGTTACACGTTGTCATGGAGACGGTTATCAATAGCACCTACCCCATGGGGTACCCCAAGGATTACATGAGATAATGCACACTGTTAGATCTCCATAAATAAAGGCACTCTTACTATATGTGTATAGGTTTCTTCTCTAGTACCATTTAAGTTCCCACAATACCTAGAAAGAGTGCCTTGCACCTAACAACAGATGCTTAATTTCATTCAACAAAATAATATATACTTACTATTTATCCTTCCAAAAAGTTCAACTTTATGGCCAAAAAAAACATTAGAAAATTCTACCCGAACACTTCACACACAGAAATGTCATATCAGAATGGTGAAGTTTTGTGCCAAAATACAAGCAGAAGGGTGCTCAGAGGATGACGGGGTTGCAGGAGCTGTGTGCTAGGCACACGTGGACACCCAGCCCACAGGCACGGTGCCCGGTGCCCTCTCACCGAACCTCTGTCTTGTTTTACGATCTTTTGATCTTTTTTTATTTTTAGTCTTTACCCTAGGATATGTTTATTGATTTTAGAGAGGGGGTGCAGAGAGAGAGAAAAACATGGATGTGAGAAACATCAATCAGCTGTCTCCTGTACACCTCCCAGCTGAAGATCAAACCTATAGCCGAGGTGTGCGTCCTGACCATGGATCAAACCCACAACATTTTTGGTGAGGGGGACAATGCCCCAACCAACTGAGCCACCCATACAGGGCTTGGTTTACAATCTGTTGATGCCACGAGAAGTTAATAACCATTCTTAGGGGCAGTGACACACAGGAACTAGAGTGGCAGGGGAGTAAACACTAAAGCAATGATAACTTGGAGGAAGAAAAAAATAAAGTAAAATAAACTACAGACAACTGATCAAAAGAACACAGACATTATAGAAAATAAACATGACAATAAGGCAACAGATGATCCTAAATATGGTTACAGACACATGTGCATATATTTAGAAAGAAAAAAAGGAAAAAGGAGGCCTGACAGCTGTCTGCTGGGAGCTGGGTTGGCCCCACAGCTATGCCAGGGCTTCTCCTACTGAATAGAAACCATTTCACAGAACATCAGCATCAGAAAAGACTTCTCTATGACTAGGATGGAGCAAGACAGAGACAGAACCACTTTATAACCATGTCTGAGCACAGATAAAACAGATACACACAGAAAACAAACCACAAAAATGATCAAATATGGCACTCTCCCAGCTAACATCAATGACTGCTGTTCCTTTATCAGAGTTTTAAGCTCACTTGTTCCTTCTGCATCCCAGATAAACTTATTAAGATATCAAATTATAGAATTGCTCCACTTTCTGAGAGCACACAATTCAAAGCTTCAGTAGACACTCAAAATTCTAACACAGCCCTCGCTGGTGTAGCTCAGTGGATTGAGCACCAGCCTGCTAATCAAAGGGTCACAGGTTCAATTCCCAGTCAGCGCACATGCCTGGGCTGCAGGCTAGGTCCCCAGTAGGGGGCGTGGAAAAGACAACCACACACTCGTAATTCTCTCCCTTTCTTTCACCCTCCCTTCACCTCTCTCTAAAAACAAGTAAATAGCCCTGGCTCGTGTGGCTCAGTGGACTGAGTGCCAACCTGCGAATCAGGGGATCACTGGTTCCGTCCTCAGTCTGGGGCACATGCCTGGGTTGTGGGCCAGATCCCCAGTGGGGGGCGCACGGGAGGCAACTGCATGCTGATGTTTTCTCCCCCCCTCTCTCCCTCCCTTCCTCTCTCTAAAAGGTAAAATCTTTTAATAATAAAAATAACTAAATAAAACCTTTTTTAAAAAACCCTAACACAAGGTCTAATCCCATAACGAGCCCTTCCTAACACCTCTTTCCTGATTCCCCGTGTTGACTAGTCTCTCTTACTGCAAGAAGCACCAATAAACACAACTTAAACTACAAGAAAAAAAAAGAACATAAGACATCTTTGTCTTCACTGGCCCCTGTGCATTGACTCAGTGCTCTGGAACCACCCAGCCTCGCCCTGGGCCTGTTTGTCCTAGTCTGGACCACCTCTGGGCCGACATCCCAGTCGCCTAGGTGTTGCCCTTGATTTTATCTGCAAAAAGCACAGCTCTCATTAACACAGTGGGAGACTTCATTTTTTAAAAACGTTTCCTAAATGTTATCCTATTTTTATTTTTCATCAGAGGACATTTTTTAGAAAGGAACCCTGAAATCCATTGAATGGATTGATTCATAGGAATTATAACTTTGCTGAGTCAGGAATTTAAGTAATTTTTCTCAAAATTTCAAAGAACATCAAATAACTTAATAATGCAAAGTGACTACATACCATATTTTTTGAACTATAAGACACACTTTTCCTTCCCCAAATTTGGAAGGAATAATGGTTGTTAATGCTGCTGTTGAGTTCTGTTTACATTTACATTGGTGAAATATTATGTTATTTGTGTTATTAAATATTAAATATTAAATATGTTATTAAACATGTTTTTTGCTTCAGAATTTTTTTCCTATTTTGCTTCTCTAAAACCTATATGCATCATATGGTCTGAAAAACATGATATATTCTGTGCTAAATATAACTATGTCATTTCATAAATACTCTTTGACTTAGAGTATCCCAAACTTAGAAATTAATTATATAACACTTAACGGGGAAAGGAAATTCATGTTTCATTCCATTCACTCAGCAGATGACTCACCTGGGGAGAAAAGGTCCATGTTTTGGGCTTTTTAGTTTGCCACGTGGCTCTGACTGTATGAATGTTGCTTAGAACCTGAAATGAGAGTTTGCCATTTGAAAGCACGTAGAAAGCTCTCTGAAACATCACCACTTCCACACCCTGAACACTTACCTGTGGCTGTGCTGTGTGGAGCAGGGGCAGAGGGGATCTTTCACCTCTTACTTTGTGGAATTCTGCCATTTTTTTAACATCAAGTACATACATAACTTTTTCAATGATTAACAAAAAACAAGACTTAAAGCACTTGTTTATAAAACAAAGTAGGAACTAATAAAATAAATTCAGACTCTGATCAAATTTGTATTACATTAAATTGATATCTGAGCTAGAAAAGTAGCTTTCACCAAAAAAGTATGAAATTTCAGGTACCAATGCCCTCTTAAGAAACATGACTGTAACAGCATTTCGCGTGTAGTCTACCCCCTTGCCCCTAACACAGACAGGGTGAATAACTCTCACACACATTTCTGTCTTCTTCAAGGTCTCTAGGCCCATAAATTATAATCTTCCTGCAATTTATCTCACAAAATGCTACTAGAGAAGTTAATCCCACAATATACATAAAACAATGAAACACAAAAGGAGCCAAAGCTATAAAGAAGAGTTCAAATCTGTAAAATTATGGCCAAAAATTGACATCTTCAAAGGGACAAGTGACAATTATTATTTTCAATAAAAATATTTTAGTATAGCACTTCTAAAACTAAGCATTAAAACTAATTAGAAATCATCCCAAACATCATCTTAGGTCAAATTTAATTCACTACCCTGTAAGTCCCTAGTGGTAGGCAGTTAGGAGTATCTTATGGGCAGCCAAGTGGTTTTTCCACATCAGAAAGTCCCCATTTCTTTCAACACCTAATATATATGAATTTATTTGAACTATCCCAAAAATAACATATTTTCAAACTGGACTCCTGGAATACAAACTCCTTCTGATCATTACCTAGTTTTCAATGTGAGACTGTATTTTATTTGCTATAATGTCCCAGAAGAAGGGAGAGTGTGAAGCTGAAAAGTATCAGAGAAAATAATGGCTGAAAAATCCCCAAATCTGTCAAAACATATCAACTACAGATTTAAGAAGAGGAATAAAGCCCAAACAAGATAAACCCAAGAAATTTGTGCCATGGTTTACTCATCACAAACTTTTGAAAACTAACCACAAATATCTCAAAAGCAGCAAGAAAGAAACACCAGCTCAATTGATTGATGAGGGAACAATTCTAATGACAGTGGATTCTTGTCAGAAATCACAGAAACCAGAAGAAAATGGTACAATATTTGCCAAGTGCCAAAGAAAAGAATCGCCAACCCAAAATTCCATCTCCAGTGACAAAATCCTTCAGAGATGAGGGGTAAACAGAAACATTCTCAGATAAAGGAAAACTGGGAGGGTCAGCGGCCAGAGGCTTGTCCAAAAAGATGGTTAAAGGAAGTTCTCTAAGCAGGAAAGACTCGATAAAAGAAGGAATCTTTGTTTATTAAGAAGGAAGGAAGAGTAACAGAAAGAGTGGAAATAAGAGTACAGAAGATTTTCTCTTGAGGTTTCTCAGTTATGCTTGATTGTTGAAACAAAAATTATAAAACTGTGTGATGTGGTTCTCAAGGTATGGAAGGGAAGTGGTTACAGCAACTACATTAGAAAGGAGACAGAGCAACGACAATTAAAGGGAGGTGAGGGTTCTATTCATGACTCACACTGGAATGGAGACACTCAGAGACTGTGGTGAGTTACCTGTGTACAACTAACACCCGGAGCAACCACTAAAACGCCGAACAGAGAGATCCGCTGCACAGCACTACAGATAATTCAGAAGAGATGGAGAAAGTATGTCCAAGAAATATGCATCAAGGAAGGAAAAAGACACAGATAAATGAAAAAGAGAAGAGTTAAAGAGAGAAAATCCCAGCAGACTAACAATTGCAGACTCTTCCATAGCATCTGCCTTCTTTTAGATGCTTTTTGGTGACTTCAGATAGTTGCTTTTTGTATATCACCCAGAATTTACAGTTGTCACCACTGAGCGAGTTGTTCTGAGAAAAGATTACTCAGCCATTGTTAGAAGCAAGCAGTGTCTTGCTAATTAGTTTCACAAAAACACTTTTTATTTGTAACTAGGCTTAGATTTACTAAAGAAGTACTCTTTTAAGTCAATAGCATCAGTATTTGTTCTAACTTCTCAATTTGGAAAGTTGACATAAATTAATTTCATAAATTCTATTATTTTGGGATAAAATAACTTCTATCATTCTGAATAAAATTCCAATCTTCATTGTAGGTTCTCACAGAGGAGAACAGGGAAAGGTATAGTGAAAAGTATGGAACCACACCTAAGGACAAGATGGCAGTCACATCTTTTCTTGGTCACTGGTGACACCTACTGGCTCATTTAATGGCAGCGGTAAGGACTGTGCAGAGTGTGGAAGTGAGGTAGGGTCCCTGGAACACAAGTTCACTTATTTACTCCAGGTTGAGGTGGAAGAAAGGACGGCACTTTTCTCGTGCTACCAGTTAGAAGACTACTCAGGGTAATCAAGCGAAACCCACAAACTCCTCCAGACCTGATGTGCTTTTAGCATTCCCGACCTGACCGAATGTCACTACCACAGACACCCCACTCTCCCTCCCCTGCCATATCTGATCCATCACCAAATAGTGTTGGTTTTACCTCTCTCAGCTCTACCTCCACTTCCCGAGAGTCATCATCATCATCTCTCACACACCTACCACACTCACTCAGTAAATCATACTCACGCTGACCCGAGGTGTGTGCCAGATGAAGAAAATGAGAGCAAGGTCAAGAACTTTGGTCAGCATTCCACACTTAGCAGCCAGTGGAGACAAGGTTAATCCCAGGCAGGCTGGCTCTGGTTTTGTTTTCCTGAAGGTGACACTTGCTGCCCATTCACCACCACACTGTGCCATAACCCCCAAATGGTCTACTCATGTCCCTTCTGCCCCTCGAATCCAGCTGGAGAGGAGCTAGACATCTTCCCAAAATATAAATATAAATTGTATCACTTCTCCTAGTAATTCTCCTGTTTTAGCATGAAGACAAAACTCCTACCCCAGCCACATTTTTTTATTTTTTAAGAAAAAAAATGCGGACAAAAAAACCGCCGCTGGCCTACAATGTTTTATATGATACTTCTTCCTGCCGTCTCCCATTTCACCCCAGCCTGTACTTCCCCTCACTCTCCGCTCAGCCACAGTGGCCACCTGCTTCCCAAGTCCTTTTCCACTGCAACCTTAACCTGCGCTGCTCCTTTGGCCAGGTGCACGCTTCCCTTTCGTTGCGCCTTGTTAAGGCCCGTTCACCCCTCAGATCTCCACCCAAGCATCACCTCCTCAGGAGAGCCCAGCCATGCATCTGGGAACTGCCTCAGTGCAATCAGCACAGCTTCAGCAACATCCCACAGATTACATGCTACATTTTCATGTTTTGCTCAGTTCAAAATCTTTTTTAGTTTCCCTTAAAATTTCCTTTTAAACCTTTGATTATTTAGAATCATTTTGTTGTTTCATTTCCAAATATTTAAGAATTTTTCCAGTTATCTTTCTGTTCCTGATTTCTAATTTAATTCTATAGGATCAAAGACCACACACTGCATGACTTGAATCCTTTTAACTGTTCAAAGTCATCTCTCTTGCTGAATGTTCCATATGCAATCAAGAGATGTGTATTTTACTATTTTGGGGTGCAGTGTTGTACAAGTGTCAAAGTCATTGACGGTGTTATTTAGTACTTTCATGTGCTTACTAAATTTCTGTCTGATTGTTGCATATTACTGAGAGAGAAGTGTTCAAGTTTCCAACTACAACTGTGGCTCTGCCCACGTCTCCTTTCAATTCTATCAATTTTATTTCACATATTTTGAAAGTCATGATGTTAGGTGAGCATACATTTAGGGCCATAGCATCTTCTTGAATTTTCTTTTACCATGCAGTGTACATCTTTATTCCTTGTAATTGTCCTTGTTCAAAAGTCTACTTTGTCTGATATTAATATATTTTGAGTGGTACATCTTTTACCACCCTTCCACTTTTAGCCTGCCTATATTATCATATTTAAGGTAGGTTTCTTGTACATAGCCTATGGTTGGATCTCTCTCACTGTGGTTTTACTTGTGTTTCCCTGATGAATATCATATGTTGAATATCTCTTAAATGCCTTTTGGTTTATCACATATTTTCTTTTTTTAAGTGATTTTGCCCTTTCATTTTTAATTATATTTTATTGATTATGCTTTTACAGTTGTCCTGAATTTCCCCTTTTGCCCCCTCACCTGCACTCCCCACCCCCTCAGGTAACCCTTGTTCATGTTCAGGGGTCACAAGTCTAAGTTCTTTGGCTACTTCCTTTCCTATACTGTAGTTAACATTCCCATGGCTACCCTGTAATTACCTGTTTGTACTGCTTAATTCCCTTACCTCTCACCCATTCTCTCACATCCACCCTCCCACCTCTTGATCTTTAAACTTTGGCATTTTAATTACAATGTGTCTTGGGATGGTCCTCTTTGCATCCATATTGTTTGGCACTCTCTGTGCTTCCTGGATTTGCATGTCTATTTCCTGAGTCAAATTAAGGACGTTTTCTTTCATTATTTTTTAAAATAGATGGCCAATTTATTGTTCTTTCTCTTCTCCTTTGGCACCCCTATAAAGTGCATGATGGATTGATTAAAGGCATCCCACACGCTGCTTACACCAGCCTCATTTTGGGGGACTCTGTTTTCTTCTTGTCATTCTGATTAGTTGTTTTTTGCTTCCTTACGTTCCAAATCATTGATTTGTTTGATTCTCGGCTTCATCTGTTCTACTGTTGTTTCCCTGTAAATTGCTCTTTAGTTCAGTTAGTATATCCTTTGTTTCTGACTGGGTCTTTTTTGTGCTATTGACGTCTTCACTAAGTTCCTTGAGCATTCTTAATACCAGTGTTTTGAACTCTACATCTGATAGCTCATCACCATTTTGTTTAGCTCTTTTTCTGGAGTTTTGATCTGTTTTTCATTTGGGTTATGTTTCTTTGTCTTCTTGTTTTGGCAGCCTCCCTGTGTTTGTTTCTGTGTATTAGGGAGAGCTGCTCTGACTCCCCGTGTTGGTAGCATGGCCTAATGTAGTAGGTGTCCTGTAGAATCCAGTGACACAGCCTTCCCTGTCACCCATGCTGGGTACTCAAGGTGTGCCCTTCGTGTGGGCTGAGTACACTCTTTTCTTGTAGTTGAGCCTTGGTTGCTGTTGGCAGATCAATGGGAAGAAGTTACCTAGGCCAGTCAGCTGCAAGGATTGGCTGTGACCACTTACCACCAACCTCCCTCCACAGAGGATCAGCACTGCAGGGGCAGGGTGGTGGTGCATCAACATGGTCTGTAGCTGTCCACTGGGTGTGCTGGCCCCCAGAGTTTATCAGGTGGTACTAGACCAAGATCAGCCCCCACCTGTGTTTTGTCGAGGGCTACCCTGAGTTATAAAGCAATCTGAGATGGCTGGTACTTGGGCTGGGCTTGGAGATTTGCGGGCAAAGCCAAGCTGTGAATCTAGGCTGCTAGTTCCAGGCCTGGGGCTCACAAGGCTAGCTGCTCCTTGTTTGAGAGGATTTAGGACATTGTAAAGCATGAGCCAAGGCCATTCATATGGAAGAGCAGCTTGGGTGGGCCCCATAAGTTGGGTGGAACAAAGTCTCTAGGGATCTCCAAGACCAATCAAACAGTGTTAGCCAGGTTGATAGAATCTTAGCTATGGTACCAGTGTGCAGGCTCTGTGGGAGGAGGGCCCAGAAAAGGGACAATGGCCTCTGTTCACCTTGATACCAGGCACCTCAGCCTCTCCCTCTATGCCACTGGTGCCCCTCAAGCCACCACCCTGTTGCCAGAGCCCAGAAAGAGTGAGCATGAGTAGGTGAATCCATGTGTGGGTTCTTTAAGAGGAATTGCTTGGGACTCCAGAAGTTTCTTCCACCAACTAAATCCCCGCTGCTTTTTGCAGCCTGAAGTTGTGGGGACTTATTTTCCTGGCACTGAAACCCTGGGCTGGGGGACCAGGTGTGGGGCTGTGTCTCCTCGCTCTCAATATATCCCTCCCAAATTTTTATCCACCACAAATGGGTGTTGTACCAGCCAGTTCCACATCTGCATCCCTCTTTCCAGTCTGGATGGCTGTGGTTTCTTTCATTCTGTAGTTGTCAGACTTCCATTCAATTTGATTTTTGTTGTTTCTGAGCAGTGGTTGTTTAATATCTTAGTTGCAATTTTGTTGTGGTTGTGCAAAGAGGCGAGCCATGTCTGCCTGTGCCACCATCTTGACAGGAAGTCTGCTTTTGCCCTTTTACAAAACTGAGTTATAATTTTTATTTCTTGGATATCATTGACTTGTTCCTGATTTTAGGGGACAAGTGTTCAATATTTCACCATTAAGTATGATTATGCTAGTTTTAGTTTTCTCTTGTTGACCTTTACCAATTTAAGGACACTCTCTTTTATTCTTAGTGTGTTAAGACGTTTTTTATTCATGAATGGTCAAATACTTTTTCTACATCTATTGAGATAACCACACAGTTTTCCTTCTTCTTTAGCTCTGTTAATATGGCAAATTACAATGATCTATTTTCAAATGTTAAATGTTGGTTACACAGGTGTGTACATTAGAATTCCTGGAATTCAAATCCAATATTCCCCAATTAATCATGATATTCAATCTGCTAATATTTTGTTAAGGATTTTAGTTTCAATATTCATGAGGGATACCAGTCTTACAATTTTTTGTCTTGTAATATCTTGTCATATTTTGGCATGTTTTTCCTGACCGTATAAAGTGCGTGAGAAGCATTTCTTCCTCATGTTTGGAAGAATTTGTCTACTGTTCATATTAATCCTCCTTAAATGTTTGGAGGAACTCACCAGTGAAGCCACCTGGGCCTAGCGTTTTCTTCATTGGAAGGTTTGTAATTAAAGTTTTGATATTTTTAACAAAGGTTATTTAAATTTTCTTTTTTTTTATGTCAGCTTCAGTAAATTGTGGTTTTCAAGGGATTTTCATGGTGTCAAATTTATTGGCATAAAGAGGTTTACAATATCTCCTTACTGTCCTTTTAATGCCTGCAGGATCTGGTGGGGTTCCATATTCAACAAATGATATTAATCATTTGTTTTCTTTCTCTCTCCCTTTTAAAAACATCTTCATCAGTTTTACTAGGTAGACATCTCTCAATTTTACCAATCTTTTCAAAGAATGAACTTTTGCTTCCCTAATTTTCTCTTCTGTTCATTTTCTACCTTATTTTTTGGACCATAAGACGTACCTAGGTTTTAGAGGAGGAAAATAGGAAAAAATGTTTTGAAGCAAAAAATGTGGTAAAATATTTAGTAACATAAATAACATAATATTTCACCAATGTAAATATAAACAGAACTCAACAGCAGCATTAACAACCATTATTCCTCCCAAACTGGCAGGGGGGGAGGTACATTTTATAGTCCAAAAAATATGGTATTTCATTATTTTCTACTCTTACCTTTATTATTTTCTCCATTCTACTTTCTTCTGATTTAACTCGCTCTTCCTTTTCTAGCCTCTTCATTTGGTAGCTTAGATCACTAATTTTAAATCTTTCTTCTTGTCTAGAAGTATATGCCATTAAAGCTATAAATTTCCATCTAAGTACTATTTAAGCTATTATTTCACAAGAAATCAATTCATTTTTTAGAAGTCATTCAAATTCTTTGGTACTGGGTATAAAATACTCTCTTAGGAATCAGGGAGGGGTCAAGTGGAGAAAGACACAAGGAAACTTTGGGAGGGTAATGTTCCACATCCTGACTGGGGTGTTGGCTATAACAAGGATATACATTTGTCAGAAATGCCACTCTGTGCACTGAAGACCTGAGCTATACAATAGTAGAAGACAGGCATCAATACCTTTTGTAGGTAAAAATCTAAGGCTTAGAGGAGTTAACTATGATACATAAGCAAACATCACATACCTAGCAATGGAAAGAGCCAGAAGTTCTATGTCATTAGAACTCATGTGGTTTGTGCTTTACCGTGTATTATTTTTATATGTGCATACACAGACACATTCATATGTACACATATACATACAGAGAAAAAGACACACAGGCAGACAGACCCCATGCAGTATATGTTTCATACATGGCATTAACAAACTGTTTTCCGTCCTGACGTAAACCAACGTGCTCCTCAGCAAGCTCACCTTACTACCATCAAACAGACAGAGGCGCACATGTCTGCTGAGAACCTGGATGCTCCCTCCGGGAACAGGAATCATTTTGCAGCTCCAGAGGGTCAGAATCAATGAAACACGGCTTGTCCTTGACCTAATCTGAGAGAAAAATTAGCTGTAAAATAGGTTTACTTTTGTGACTTAGAAAATGAATTTATTTTCAAAGTATCTTTTATAAATACTTAAGAAAATGTACATAAAATAAAAAGAATAAAAGAAAAAATTTAAATACAAATATATACCCATAAGTGTCAATAGTATAATTAATTTAAGTCAAATTAAATTAATTTAAATTTAATTCTGGGGGTACGCTTTTAGGTAATTTTTCAGGTACATTTTATTTTATTTTTTTTAAACTTTTTTATTGATTATGCCATTACATTTGTTCTATCCCCCCCTCCATTCCCCTCCACCCTGCATACCCCTCCCCCACCATTTCCCCCTTTAGTTCATGAACAAGTGTCTCAAATTCTTTAGATTCTGTATTTCCCCCTACTATTCTTACCCTCCCCCCTATCTATTTTCTATCTACTGTCTATGCTACTTATTTTCTGTACCTTCTCCCCCCTTCTCCTCCTCCCACTCCCCTGTTGCTAACCCTCCATGTGATCTTCATTTCTATGGTTCCGCTCCTGATCTAGCTGTCCTCTTAGTTTGCTTTTGTTTTAGATGTGGTTGTTAATAACTGTGAGTTTGCTGTCCTTTCACTGTTCATCTTTTTTATCTTCTTTTTATTAGGTAAGTCCCTTTAACATTTCATATAATAAGGGCTTGGTGATGATGAACTCCTTGAATTTGATCTTATCTGAGAAGCACTTTATCTGTCCTTCCTTTCTAAATGAAAACTTTGCTGGGTAGAGCAATCTTGGTTGTAGGTCTTTGGTTTTCATGACTTGGAATACCTCTTTCCAGCCCCTTCTTGCCTGTAAGGTCTCTTTTGAGAAATCAGGTGACAGTCTGATGGGGACTCCTTTGTAGGTGACTGTCCCCTTAGCTCTTGCTGCTTCTGGTATTCTCTCCTTCATTTTAATCTTGGCTAATGTAATGATGATGTGCCTTGGTGTGTTCCTTCTTGGGTCCAACTTCTTTGGGACTCTCTGAGCTTCCTGGATTTCCTGGAAGTCTATTTCCTCTGCCAGAATGGGGAAGTTCTCTGTTATTATTTGTTCAAATAAGGTTTCCACTCGTGACTCTTCCCCTTCTGGTACCCCTATAATTCGAATGCTGGAACGTTTAAAGATGTCCTGGAGGTTCCTAAGCTTCTCCTCATTTTTCTGAATTCTTATTTCTTCATTCTTTTCTGTTTGATCATTTTTTTCTTCCTTCTGGTCCACTCCCTTGATTTGAGTCCCAATCTCCTTTCCATTACTATTGGTTTCCTTTGTATCACCATTCATTTCAATTAGTTTAGCTTCCATATGTTTCTCTAATTTGTGACTAAAATCAACCAGTTCTGTAAGGATCCTGATAACCAGTGTTTTGAACTGTGCATCTGAAAGATGGGGTATTTCTTCATCACTTAGATCGATCGGTTCTGGGGCTCTGAGTTGTCCGAGAGCCATTTTTGGTCTATTCGTGCCGTTAAGTAAGCGGAGCGAAGCCTTAGTTGTTTACCAGGACGGAGCGACCCAGGTCGCTGGTTTGTGACGCTGTGTGTGGGGGCATGGTCAGAGAGGGAGCAATGGTGGTCCTCTCTCCTAGCCCAGTCCGTCCAGTCCCACCACTCGCCCCGGGCCTGTTTATCCAATCGGAATTGTGCGAGCCTGCTGCCCTGAGCAGGCTCCCCTCCTCACTGGTTTATCCGCACGCACCTGCGCAACCCACCGCAGACAGCCCGCCGCGCCTCTTCCCTGTGTGCTCCCGTAGTTAGTCTGAGATCTGAGCCTTCGGCTGCTCGCACACCACCACACCACCCGTTTGGGGATTTTTTCTTGCCAACCTGCTCCGCTGCTGGCTTCGGTCCTCTTACCAGTTTAGCTGAGCATTTCGTTGTCTTCAGACTTCGTATTGTCAATTTTCTGTGTGGCTTGGTTGTGTTTATTATTGTTAAAAATAGTTGTTCTTAGATTTGGTTGTACACAGAGGCAAGGTGGTTCCACCTACACCTCCATCTTGGCGGAAATCCTAGGTACATTTTAAATAAATATTTATATTTAAAGTATTTGCATTTGGAGGTAAATACATAAGAATTGTGATTTAAAAAAAAAAAAACAGTCCATACTATCAGATAAAATGTGTGACCTGGCCCTGGAATCATGTACTCCAGGTTCCTTCACACAGTCCCTCCTCCACAGTGTGGGTTCAAGTAGATGCTCACAGCAACATTCACAGTATCCAGCTCCTCCTTCCTTTGAAGCAAGCACTTATCTACTTTGTCCCTTGGCTTCTCATACAAATGTTTTGACAGAGAGAATGTAAGAATGCACTGACCACTGGATGTGACTGTTCAGTTCTACTTCACAAGTCTAGTTCAGAATGTCAATAAATAAATTGGCATTTTTGTTTCTAATATCATAACACCTTCAATTTTTTAAAAGATTTTATTTATACTTATTTTTTAAAAGATTTTATTTATTTACTTTTAGAGAAGGGGGAAGGGAGGGAGAAAGAGAGAGAGAGAAACAGCCCACAACCCAGACATGTGCCCTGACTGGGAATTAAACCCACAACCTTTTGGTTTATAGGCCAGTGCTCAATCCACTGAGCCACACAAGCCAGGGTTACTTATTTATTTTTAGAGAGAGAGGAAAGAAGGGAGCAAGAAAGGGAAAAAAACATGGATGTGCAAGAGAAACACCAATTGGTTGCCTCTCACATATCCCCAACCAAGCACCTGGCCCGCAACCCAGGTATGTGCCCCAACTGGGAATCAAACAAGAGACCTCTTTCATCTCTGGAATGATGCCCAACCCACTGACCCACACCAGTCAGGGCAAACATCTTCAATTCTTTACATTCTGCTTTATGGTCATGGGTACTTCCTTTTAAATGGCTTATAATATTAAAAATAATACAAAAATTAAGCCTTTTCAACTTAAGATATGAGAGATGAGTAATCAGCTCTCTGGGTACAAGTTCATAAAATTAAATGCCATTTATTCTAGTACTAGCACACTAAACAGATCAAATACACCACCTCTGTTGACTTACAATAAAAGATATTTAATACAAAAAAGGTTCTAGACAATGTTTAGCTTGAGAGGAAAAAGGGCACAGCAATTCTAATTCTGTACATACCCTCAGCACAAAACCTGACCACACTGGGTCCTTTTATTCTTCCCCTGAAGTTCTGGGGGAGGAAGGAAGAAAAAGTGGAAGGTACACAGGAAAAGGGAGTGATGTGCACCAATGCAGTGTAGATCTGCTAAAAAGTTTGAGAGTAGACTTAAATATCAAGAGTATTTCCTACTTCAAATACTGGGGATACAGCAATCCTTTACTCCAAGCTGTCCCCACAAAAGTATATTCAGAAAGTACTCCTTCCTACATAATTAAAATAATATTATTTCTACTACTACTACTAGTGTGATGATACTAGCTACTATTTCCTGAGTTATTATCATGAGCCAGGCATTGTTATCTGCTCTTCACACATATAATTCTCGAAATAACACTATGTGGGAAGTATTATTATTATTCGCTTTTCCAGATGAAGAAATTGAGACAAGTACTGATTCTGATACGTACAGTTTCCTTTGTAACAATGGGAGAAGAGAGCACTGGAGAAGAGGAACAAAGTCACAAACCCAAGTTTTGTCTTAATGATGAAACCGTCACTGAGTATTTCAAAATCACAAACAGAAACCATTTATTTGTTTTTCATAATGCATTAATCAATTTATATGCATTATAGGCCCTTATACCAATAAGATATACTTGCAATCTTGACACAATCTGGAAAAGTTATAACTAGAGGGCACTTCCAACCAAGATGGAGGGGTAGGGAGACACACTTTGCCTCCTGGCACAACCAAAAGAAAGACAACAACAAATTTAAAAACAAAAAATAACCAGAACTGCCAGAAAATCAAACTGTATGAAAGTCCAACAACAAAGGAGTTAAAGAAGAAACATTCATCCAGACAGGTATGAGGGGTGGAGAGGACGTGCGACAAGGTGGAGGCTGAAGGACTGGGGTGGGCAAAGCGGCAGCTGGCAGACTGGGCAGTCCCACATTTGCATGCATATAAACTGGAAGGAACAACTGGGGAGTGAGCACAACCCAGGGTTTCAGAAAAATAAAGCCTCAAAACCTCTGACTCTAAAAACCTGTGTGGTTTGTAGCAGTGGGAGAAAATCCCAGCCTCACAGGAGAGTTCGTTGGATAGACCCACAGGGACCTAGAACGTACACAAGCCCACCCGCAGGGAATCAGCACCAGAAGGGCCAAATTTGCTTGTGGGTTGTGGGAGAAGTGACTGAAAGCCAGTGAGAGCTGAGCAGGCAGCACTGTTCCCTCTTTGACCCCTGCCCCACACGCAGGGCCACAACTCAGCAAAGTGAATTGCCCTGCCCTGGTTGAATATGCAAGGCTCCACCACTTACTACATGAAAGGCATCAAAATTTGGGCCATATTTTTCTATATGGCCCAAATGAAAGAGCAGATCAAAGCCCCCAAAATAGATCTAAGCAATGAAGATAGCCATCCTATTAAATGCAGAGTTCAAAACACTGGTAATCAGGATGCTCACAGAAATGGTTGAGTATGGTTGCAAAATTGAGGAAAAAGTGAAGGCTATAAAAAGTGAAATAAAAGAAAATGTACAAAGAATCGGCAATAACAGTAAGGAAACTGGGACTCAAATCAATGATTTGGAACAGAAGGAAGAAATAAACACTCGACCAGAACAGAATGAAGAAACAAGAATTCAAAAAAGTGAGGAAAGGATTAGGAACGTCCAGGACAACAAGCACTCTAACGTCTGAATCGTAGGGGTACCAGAAGGAGAACAAAAGTAAGAAATTAAAAAATTATTTGAAAAAATAATGAAGAAGAACCTCCCCAATCTGGGAAAAGAAATAGACTTCCAGGAAGTCCAGGAAGCTCAAAGAGTCCCAAAGAAATTGGACACACCCAAGGAGGAACACACCAAGGCACATCATCATTAAGTTATCCAAGACTAAAGATAAAAAGAATGTAATTTTAACTCCTTAACAGTTAAGGAGTAGTTACATTTATACAGTCCTAAAATTATTTCAGCTCTTTGAAGGCAACAGCAAGACTGATGTGGCCCCCAGTGAAAATGAGTTTGACACCCCTGCCCTATTATATGAAATGTTAATGGGACTTATCTAAGAAAAAGAAGATGATCAAAACTACAAACAGTAAAATGACAACAAATACACAACTATCAACAACTGAACCTAAAAAAACAAAAACAAAAACAAACTAAGCAAACAACTAGAACAGGAACAGAATCACAGAAATGGAGATCAATGGAGGGTTATCAATGGGGAGGGGGAGGGGATACAATTGGGGAAAAAAGTACAGGGAATAAGAAGCATAAATGGTAGGTACAAAATAGACAAGGGGAGGTTAAGAATAGTGTGGGAAATGGAGAAGCCAAAGAACTTATATATACAACCCATGGAGATGAACTAAGGTGGGGGAATGCTGGTGAGAAGGGGTTGCATGGCAGAGGGAAATAAAGGGGAGAAATAAAATGGGACAACTGTAATAGCATAATCAATAAAATATATATATTTTTAAAAAGTTGTAACTTAGTTCTGGTACTTACTGTGCCTGTCTTAGCATCCCACATGAGATCTCTGAAGGCCAGCTGTGAAGGAGTGAGCTCTGGCTGTAAGAAGTAACTTGCTTGAAATTGATTCCCTGCAAAAATAATTTTCCTTTACTCTCTTACAAAAAAAGGAGGGGCCATAAAACTCAAAACCAAAAATCCATGATGTTATGCTATCAACTTAGGAAATAGAAATCTAAAAAGCTGGACGCTTCCTGGGAATAGACTTCCTAAGACAGAGGCACCAACAGAGATTTACACACAAAAACAAGACAGGAAACACAAAGAAGAAGCACATAAGAGCTGATCTCCAAGCAGCTTTAAGAAAGACCCAAAAGTGCCCTGGCTGGTGTGCTCAGTGGATTGAGCATGGGCTGTGAACCAAAGGGTCGCCAGTTCAATTCCCAGTTGGGGCACATACCTCTGTTGTGGACCTGGTCCCCAGTGGGGGCCACGTTAAAGGCAACCACACACTGATGTTTCTCTCCCTCTCTTTTTCCCTCCCTTCCCCTTCTCTAAAAAATAAATAAATAAAACCTTTAAAATTTTTAAAAATTCTTTTGGGGTCTTTCTTTAGACCCAAAAGGCTCTTAGGTCAATAACATGGCCTGTGATGAAGACGATCCATTCAAATATTTTTATAAAATGCAGAAATCTGTAAACACAATTTAGAAACTAAGAAAACTATGTAATTATTAACTTGACTTAACAGAAACCATTTTTATACTGTTCTCCCATGCCTTAGTCATGGAGAATACTTGTTACTAAACCATATATTCATTTGCAAAGTCACCTTTCAGTCCCTACTCTGTGCCAGGTACCACTCCAGGACCCACAATACAAATGTGAACTGAGACTTCTGCCAACATGGAGGCATAGGTGGAGACACCATGCTTTCTCTCACAATCAAGTTTAGAGACAACTAAATATTAGCAACAGAAAACACAGCCAGAACACAGAAAATTGAACTTGTCAGAAGTCTGATAACAACAAATTCTTCAGCCTGACCAGTAAGAGGGGCGAAACCAGCAGCTGTTGGAGCGGGGTTGCACAGAAAAACTCGGTCAGACGGACTCGGGCGCGCAGAACCTGGGTACAGGGTTGGACCTAGTAAGCAACTCAGCGAGCGACCTCGGGGAAACAGCGAGGGAGCAGGGCTGCGGGTTGACTGTGGTCCCGCATTCGTGCGTGGATAGACAAGCATGGGAGTGGGCGGTGAGACTACGGTACTGAGCAGGCCCCATGGTGAGCGTTACCAGAGGGCGCCGCCATTTCCCTGCTCTGACCCCGCCTCCACATACAACGAACGTCATAACCCAGCGACCTGAGTGGCCCGCCCTGGTGAACCACCTAAAGTTCTCCTCACCCAGCGGCTCGAAACAGCAGAGGGGGGTCTCCATTTCTCCACTCTGACCACGCCCCCACATACAGAGTCACAACCCAGCCACCTGGGAGTCCAAGGCTCCACTCCTCAGACTTAACGGGCGCGAACAGACCAAAAATGGCTCAAGAAGATCTCAAAGCCCCAGAGCCTATAAATCTAAGCGATGAAGAAATAGCAAAACTCTCAGACGCACAGTTTAAAACACTGGTGATCAGGATCCTCACAGAACTGGTGGATTATAGCCACAAATTAGAGAAACTTATGAAGGCGAAACTAATGGAAATGAATGGAATTGCACAGGGAACCAATAGCGATGAAAATGAAACTGGGACTCAAATCAATGGAGTGGACCAGAAGAAAGCAAATAATGGCCAAACAGAAAAGAGTCAAGAAGCAAGAATTCAAAGAAATGAGGAGAGTCTTAGGAACCTCCAGGACATCTTTAAACGCTCCAACATCCGAATTATAGGGGTACCAGAAGGGGGAAAGGAACAGCCACCAGTGGAAAACTTATTTGAACAAATAATAAAGGAGAATTTCCCCAATCTGGCAAAGAAAATAGGCTTCCAGGAAAACCAGGAAGCTCAGAGAGTCCCAAAGAAGCTGGACCCAAGAAGAAACACACCAAGACACATCATCATTACATTAGCCAAGATTAAAATGAAGGAGAGAATCCTAGAAGCAGCAAGAGATAAGGGGACAGTCACCTACAAAGGACTTCCTATCAGACTGTCAGCTGATTTCTCAAAAGAGACCTTACAGGCAAAAAGGGGCTGGAAAGAGATATTCCAAGTCATGAAATCCAAAGACCCACAACCAAGATTGCTCTATCCAGCAAAACTTTCATTTAGAATGGAAGGACAGGAGTTCATCATCACCAAGCCCTTATTATATGAAATGTTAAAGGGACTTATCTAAGAAAAAGAAGTTAAAAAACCTGAACAGTGAAAGGATAGCAAACTCACAGTTATTAACAACCACACCTAAAACAAAAGCAAACTAAAAGGACAGCTAGATCAGGAGTGGAAACATAGAAATGAAGTTCTCAAGGAGGGTTAGCAACAGGGGAGTAGAGAAGGGGGGAGAAGGTACAGAAAACAAGTAGCATAGACAGTAGATAGAAAATAGATGGGGGGGCAAGAATAGTATGGGAAATATAGAATCTAAAGAACTTGAGACACATGGTCATAAACTAAAGGAGGGGTAATGGTGGGGACGGGGGGTAGGGTGGAGGGGAATGAAGGGGGGAATAGAACTGTAATGGCATAATCAATAAAAAATAAATAATTAAATAAATAAATAAACAAATGTGATCTGAGAACTACAGCCCTGACCCCCTTCATTTATGATGGAGTGGGGGCATCATCATCATTTAAAAAATAAGTAGACAAGAGAATAAGTAAGATCATTATAAGCTGACTTAGACCCACAAAGGGTGCTCAGGTGGACAGGAATAGAGGGAACCTACATTACTTACGGAAAGTGTCTATAGGTAGGTGGAATTAACCAAGACCCAAAGGAAGAGGAGGAGCAGGCCTTCAAGGGAGCTGAGAAGAGCTTCCCAGCAGAGGAACCTCAAAGCAGCCTTTCCACAGATAACTCCACAACTCAGGGTATCAGAGCAGCTTCCCTCATCATCACCCTTCTTTAAAATAGGTTTATGGACAAATGTTGTCAAGTACTGGAAATCCAAGAGCAAGTAAGAAAACAGAAAAACTGAATGGAGGTAAGTCTTTGGAAAAGGGAAAAGGAAGCTTCACCTAGAAATGGATGGGGCTGGGGAGGCTGGTTCTCCAAGGTAGGAGGAATTAGGCATGTCAGTACCACTAATGAGGGAAGAAACAATGGGTACAGGGACAGGCTGAAGATACAAAAGGCTGGCAAGTAAGAGCCAAGTCTTTGAAATAAAGAAAAGGGGCTGGAGCCCAAAGCACAGGAAGACAGGCCAGCCTCGGACAGGATCAGGGGTCCTTCCTCCACTCTCACAGGAAAGATGAGGCAAAGATGAGCACCAGTGAGATGTGAGGTTTAACATCTTTTTAAACAAAACAACTTGTTTTGTCTAAAACAAAGAAACCAGAGGCAAAGATTGACTGTTTAACTGAAGGTCTGTGGTGAATGCAGACACCTGTTACCTTCCTCCAGAAGCTGGAAGAGCGTGGAAGGCCTGAACCCGGCAGGAATGGCTCCCATCGTTGTCAACACATCAACAGTGTTGATCTGCTGAACATGCTAAAAACAAATCAATGTGCTGTTTTCATTCATGTTTCCCTCACCTATTGTCTTTATCACTATAGCAACTGCAACCCCAAAAAGGAAAACACAAATGTACAGATATTAGTGGACTAACACAGCAATTTAACCCCAAATTCCTAAATGGAGGCCATCACTGAATCCTGGCGTCTCCCAAGGACCTAAGACCCGAGCCATGCCCAGTGGGCAGAGCTCTGTGCTCCTGCACATCCCTCATCAAATGTCCCTCCTCCTGTCCCAAGCCACAGTGTACTGTCATGTAACAGATGAGTTTATATCGTGAGTTGATATGCACTGACAATTTAATGGGTTTTTGTATACATATGTTATGGGTGTGTATATGTATACATACAAACACACACACATCTGTCCAGAAAAAGTCCAGACATCGTTAATATAACAATAAGGGTTTGCATGATGTCAATGTAACCTGGCAGGTAAGGACAGTGGACTGGAATGCACATGTGTAAACATGCATGAATAATGACGACTTCACTGTGCTAGTCAGTGGAGGTGGTAGATGCCATTGAGCATGTGTACTGTGTGGCCGTGACATTCAAAATGACTGAGCAAGTAGAGCAACAAATTTTGTGTTAAGCTTGAAGATTCCTCTGTGGAAACTATTCAGGTGATTCAGAAGGCTGCAGCTATGGGCAACTGGTGATTAGCAGCTTCATCATGACAATGCGCCTGCTCACGCGTCATGTCTTGTGTGGGGTTTTTTGGTGAAACATAAAATCACCAAGGTGACTCAGACCCTCTACAGCCCAGATCTGGCACCTTGCCAACTACTGGCTTTTTCCAAAACTAAAATCACCTTTGAAAGGGAAGAGATTTCAGACATTGCTGAGATTCAGGAAAATATGATGGGGCAGCTGATGGCAACTGGGAGAACTGTGTGAGGTCCCAAGGTGCCTACTTTGAAGGGGACTTGGGCACCACTGTCCTGTGTACAATGCTTCATATACACCTTCTGGTATATATATACATACACACACACACACTCATGAGCCCCAGGATAAAAAGTCAGAAAAACAGTTACCAAACTGTTAATGGTGGTTACTTATGCAGGGAGTAAATTTCATGTTATTATGTAATTTTTTTAATGTTAGGATTATGAATAATTTCTTACTTTTTGGAGATTTCTGGAATTTTTCATATTAACTAAAATTTAACAGCAGTGTTTACCCAAATGATAGAAAATTCAGGTAGAATCAGTGAGAGATATTACCAAGCCCTCAAATCTACTCTTCTTAGAGAAAAGACCTGATGGGAAATGCTACTTGGAGCACAGGCTTACTAAGCCACAAGTGCATGTTTTGTGCTCTGGACGATGCTATCTTCCAAAGTCCCTATCTGGTTTTGAATCTGAACTCTAGCAGAACTCTAAGGTAACAGAGCAAGACATCATTGACAAGTGAGGAGATACCAACCTCCGAGAGAGTTTTTCGAACAGTACTCCAATGAGAATCAGTTCTGGGAGACAAAACAGCAAGGTGAGTACACAGACAGGTTACACCTATTCACCTAGTTAGGGAACTTCATTAATCAAAGAACAAAGTACATAACTGTCAGTAAGTTCCGAAAACCTAACAGTATTCAAATGAACCAAAATAGAATAATCACAGAATTAAAGCGGTGATGATCTTTAAGCAAATAGTTATATGAAAAGCACTGTTCACAAACTGCAAGTTGTCTCCACTGCAAAAAATTCTTGAATTATTTACAATGGTAAAAATAAACAAAGTTCCCTAAATCTTTTATCTGACTTTGATATTCCCTCAGGCCTTTGTACCTTTGTTTAACTTGTGTTCCTTCTGCTGTCTCATCCCTCAACGCCACATCTCCTTCACTGCCTTCTTCACTTGATTCTGGGCCTTCTTTATGACAGGGCTGAAAAATGATTGAAATATGAGGTGCTTTTTCACATATTATAAAAATAAACCAATAAAAAAACTTTCAGAAAGACTCAAGTGTAGAGGGAAATTTACATGATGGGCACATCAAAACTCAGTGGGAACCCTGACCAACATGGCATGGCTGGTTAGAGGGTAATCCCACAAACCAAAAGGTCTCTGGTTGATTCCTGGTCAGGGCACATGCCTGGGTTGCAGATTTAGTCCCCAGCTGGGGCACATACAAGAGGCAACCAATTGATGTTTTTCTCTCACACTGATGTCTCTCTCTCTCCTCTCTCCCTTCTCCACTCTCTAAAATTAAAAATAAATAAAATCTTTTAAAAAAAATTAGTGGGGAAAAGATTTCAACACATGGTTGATCACTTCACTGTTTGAATAAATACATGGATAGAGACTGAGAGTAAGTTTAATCAAAATTAATTCCAGATGGAATATACTCAAATAAAAACAAAGAAGTAAAGGCAGAAATAAAAGAACTCTGAAAGCATTAGAAGAAAATAATCCTGAGATGGGGAAGTCCTTTCCAATTACAGATCTTTGTAGAGGTCTGTAAAAGTCCATATATGCTGTCTACTGATGAATCTCCACCTCTTCTTTTCTAACAGAATCCTTCATGTTAGCATGGAGCTGGTGAAAAGATTAGTTTCCAGTCCCTCCTTGCAGCTAGTTGTTGAAAAGAACTAAATTCTTTTTGTAAATTATATTTTATTGATTATGCTATTATAGTTGTCCCAATTTTTTCCCCTGTGCCCCCCTCCACCGACTACCCCCAGTCACTCAGGCCATCCCCACACTTCTATTCTTGTCCATGGGTCATGCACATAAGTTCTCTGGCTTCTCCATTTCCTATGCTGTACTTTACATCCCCATGACTATGCTGTAACCACCAATTTGTGCTTCTCAAACCCTTTGCCTTTTCACCTATTCTCCCAATCCTCCTCCCATCTGGCTGCCATCACCATTCTCCATATCTATGATTCTGTTTCTGTTCTGCTTGTTTGCTTAGTTTGTTTTTTAGATTCAATTGTTGATGGATATGTAATTATTGCCATTTTACTGTTCATAGTTTTGGTCTTCTTTTTCTTAAATAAGTTCCTTTAACATTTCATATAATAGTGGTTTGGTGATAATGAACTCTTTTAGCTTTTTCTTCTCTGGGAAGGTCTTTATCTGCCCTTTGATACTAAATGAAAGCTTGCTGGGTAGAGCAACCTTGGCTGTAGGCCTTTGCTTTTCATCATTTCAAATATTCCTTGCCAGTCCCTTTCTAGACTGCAAAGTTTCTTTTGAGAAATCAGCTGATGGTCTTATGGGAACTCCCTTGTGGGAAACTACCAGCTTTTCTCTTGCTGCTTAAAAATTTTTCTTTTAATTTATTTCTTTTTGAGGGAGAGAAACATCGATGTACAAGAGATACATTGATCAGTTGCCTCTCGCACACCCCCAACTGGGAGCCTGGCCCACAACCCAGACATGTTGCCCTGACTGGGAATCAAACCAGCAACCCCTCAGTAAGCAGGCTGGCGCTTAATCCACTCAGCCACACCAGCCAGGGCTCTCTTGCTGCTTTTAAGATGCTCTCTTTATCTTTAATCTTTGGCATTTTAATGTTGATGTGACTTGGTGTGGGCCCTTTTCCTGGACTTGTATGTCTGTTGTCTTCACCAAGTTAGAGAAGTTTTCTGTCATTATTTTTTCAAATAGATTTCCAATTTCTTGCTCTCTCTCTTCTCCTTCCAGCACTGCCCTGATGCAAATGTTGGTACACATGAAGTTGCCCCAGTGGCTCCTTACACTATCCTCGTTGTTTTGGCTTCTTTTTTCTTCTTGTTTTCTGATAGTTATTTTTTGGTTCTTTATGTTCCAAGTCACTGATTTCATTCTCAGCTTCATCCACTCTACTGCTGATTCCCTGTAAACTGTTCTTTATTTCAACTAGTATTTCCTTCATTTGTGACTAGACATTTTTTATGCGAAGGTTCTCACTAAGTTCCTTGAGCATCCTTATAACCAGTGTTTTGAACTCTGCATCTGATGGAGACTGCTTATCTCCATTTGCAGTTCTTTTTCTGGAGTTTTGATCTGTCCTTTCATTTGGGCCATGTTGCTTTGTCTCCTCATTTTGGCAGCCTCTCTATATTTGTTTCTATGTATTAGATAGAGCTGCTATGACTCCCTGTCTTGGTAGTGTGGACTAATGTAGAAAGTGTCCTATAGAGTCCAGTGGCACAGCCTCCCCTATCACCCAAGCTAGGTAGTTGAGGTGTGCCTTCTGTGCGGGTTGAGTACATACTCCTCTTATAGTTGAGCCTTGATTTCTGTTGCCACGCCAATGGGAGTGATTTACCCAGGCCAATGAGCTGCATGCAAGAACCGGCTGTGATCACTGACCACCAACCTCTACCCTCTGTAGAGAATCAGTTGTGCATGGGCTTCCTCCACAGAACAGGGCTTAATTCAGCAGGACTCACTTCAGCTGGACTCTGGTGCCCCTTGTGTTCTGTCTTGGGCCACTTGGCATAAGCTATAACACAAGCAGCAGCTGGCTGCTTCTTGTGGTGAGCTTGGAAGTGCCCGAGCAAGGACAGGCTGTGAATCAATGCCAGCTGCTGCTAGTGCAGGGCCTGGGACCACTTAGCAAAGTAGAGGGGCTTGCTGAGGCCAGCTGCTGCTTGTTTGAGAGGATTTAGGAAGATCAGAATCATGTGCCAAGACAAGTCACTTGTATGGAAAAGGCACTGTTAACCACTTAGGTGAGCAGGTAAGTTGGGTGGGGTGGAGACTTAGGAAATCCCCAGGGCAACACTAACAGTGTGAACCAGGTTGATGGAGTCTCTGATATGGTGCCCGCCATACTCTGTGCCTCTTTAGGGGGAGGGTTCAGACAGGAGCAATAGCCTCTGCCAGCAGTTCTGTCTTGGAGAAAGCTGGCCCCCAGCTCTCACCCTGATGCCAGACTTCAGTTCCTCCCTGTATACCACTGGTACCTTTCCATCTGCTGCCCAGGTGCTGGAGCTCAGTGGGAGTGAGTCTGAGTAACTCTGTGCACAGGCCCGTTAAGAGGAACTGCCTGGGAATCCAGCAGTTACTTCTACTGACACAATCTCCACTGGTTTTTACATCCAGAAGCCACAGGAACTTTTCTTCCAGGTACTGGAACCCTGGGCTGAGTGGCCTCATGTGGGGCTGGGACCCCTCACTCCTGAGATATCCCTCACAATTTTTATCTACCACATGATTTTTATCTGCCACACATGAGTGTGGGACCAGCCCAATCCACATCTCTGCGTGTCTGCCCCTCCTGCCAATCTGGATGGATGTGGTTTCTTCCTTAATTCCATGGTTGTGGGATCTCCATTCAACTTGATTTCTGCAAGTTCTGAGCGATGGTTGTTCTGTAGTTTAGTTGTAACTTTGATGTGTTTGTGTGATGAGGCCATCCATGTTTACCTAGGCTGCCATCTTGGAGATCTGGATCTTATATCCTTTATTAATTTCAATTTTGAGAAATTTCACACTCTGGCAGTAGCATTTTGCAAAGCACTTCCACCTCTGCCTCTGTCCTTACCTCCGCTCCAGGCACTCCAAACCAAAAAGAACTAAATTCTGATCAAGATATAATTGGAATTTTTTTGTGTAACTTCCAGGAAATGGTTTCAAAAAAGATGGCAGCTCAGGCCTTTTGACCTCATGTTCCCCTTTCCTTCTCTTTTGCTGCCTGGAATCATTTAAAGATCTAGCAGCCAACTTAAACCACAGAGTTACCCCTGGAAGAGCTGTCCCCCACCTAACCACAGAGTGAAACATTACATGGGGTCTCAGCACCCTTTGACTGCTGCCTCCACACTTCTGCCTTGTGCGACAGAAACGTGCTTCTACCTTATTTAAGCCACTATCTGGGGATCTCTTGTAACTCAGAGTGGAAGCTAATCACAGCTTCCTTGCCACATAATTGGTAGCCATTATAAGTTGGAAATAACCTAAAAGTCCATCTCTATGAAGCTGGAATACTGTTCTACCATCGACACAGCTGATATAGACCTGGACTATGCAATATAGCAGCTACTTGCCACCTGTGGCTGCTGACACTTGAAATGTGATTCCTTCAAACTGAGATGTGCCACTTAAGTATAAAATACACATTAGAATTTAAGGATGTAGCATAAAAGGGGAAGCATTTTTAGCATTAATTATATGTTGAAATGACAATATTTTTGATGTACTGAATAATATAAAATATATTATTAAAATCTCACCCATTTCTTTTTACTTTTTAAAATTGTGTAATATAATGCAAAATATACAGTTGGTCTTTATTGCCAGTTCTTGGCAACAGTCTTAAACCTCTCTGGAATTTCCTGAGTGACAGGAGTGTCTTTTGCTCTTCACAACACACCCTTTCAACCACATTCGAGGTTACGCTAATCAGGTGGTGAGATGCTGGCTGCCTTAAAAACCAACCCTGGGATTAAAGGTTTGAACATTTTTTTTTTCTGCTTGGGTGTGAGGTGGGGGAGCTTCAAATTCCTTGTAAGGATGCTTTATTATTTATTTATTTATTCCCATTTAGTCCCCTTATACCCCTCACCTCCCTCAATTACCACTCTGTTATCCGTGTCCATGAGTCCTTTTTCCTTTTGGCTCAATCCCTCCACCCTCAACCCTCCACTCCCACAGCTGTCATCCTGCTCTCTATCTATGATATGAGTCTGTCTCTGTTTTGCTTATTAGTTCAGTTTGTTCATTAGATTCTATATATGAATGAAATCATGGTATTTGTCTTTCTCTGACTGGCTTATTTCACTTAGCATGTTCTCCAGGTCCACCTACACTGTTGCAAAGGTAACATTTTCTTCTTTTTTACAACCAAGTAGTATTCCATTGTGTAAATATCCCATAGTTGTTTATCTACTCATCTACTGTTAAACACTTGGGCTGCTTTCATATCTTGGCAATTGTAAGTAACACCACAGTGAATATAGGGGTGCTTACATTCTTTAAAATTAGTGTTTTGGGTTCCTTTGGATATATTTTCAGAAGTGGGATCACTGGATTAAAAGGTGGATCCATTTTTAATTTTTTGAAGTCTCTCCATACTGCTTTCCACAGTTGCTGCACTAATCTGCACTCCCACCAACAGTGCACTGGGGTTCCCCTTTCCCCAGATCCTTGCCAGCACTTGTTGTTTGTTGATTTATTGATGATGGCCATTCTGACAGGTGTGAGATAATATCTCATTGTGGTTTTAATTTGCATTCTTCTGATGATTAGTGATGTTGAGCATCTTTTCATATGTCTGTTGGTCATCTGTATGTCCTCTTTGGAGAGTGTTTATTCAGGTCCTTTACCCATTTTTTAATTGGGTAAAGCACTGGAACTTTTATCACAGCCTCCCACCTTCAGATAGGGTAAAAAAGCTGGAATTAAACTCAAACACCAATGGTCAAGAATTTAATCTCATGCCTATGTAATAAAACCTCCATAAAAACTCCAAAAACAATAGGGTTTAAGGAGCTTCCAGTCTGGTGACCACTTTGAAGTGCTGGCAGGATGGCCCCAGAGCATCAGTGGAAGACCCAAGTCCTAATCCCTCCATCTCTCAATACCTCTCCCTACCTGCACCTATTCCATGTGGCTCTTCCTGAGTCGGGTCCTTCATAATAACATAATAAATACAAGTAAGGTGTTTTACTGGACTCTGTGAGTTCCTCTAGCAAATTATTGAACCTCAGGAAGGGTGTGGGAACCCCTGTATCTTGCTATGGCTGGTCACTTACAAATACAAGTGGTCCCTGGGACTCGTGACTGGCATCTAAAGTAGGGCAGTTTGTAGGATCGTGCCTGTAACTTAAGGAGCCTGCACTAACTCTAAGAGTTAGTGTCACCATTAAATTGAACTGTTGGAAACCTGGTTGGTTTTAGACAACTGGTATGGAAAACAACACATATTTGTTATCAGGAAAAAAACCCACATAGTTGGTATTAGAAGTGGTGTCAGAAAAAAAGACATTGCAGTGTTGGTTATGAGAAAATTTTAAATTACAATTTGTTGTTTGTATTAGAGATCTATTGGCCAGCACTGACCCAGACAGATTGATTATATATTTTGGCAAAGAAAATGACCATGTTATATCATAAAACACAAAAAACAATAAATTACAAACATGAGTGTATAGTATGTTCATATCCTATTACAGGATCACATATTTGTAGAAGTTAACACAAAGTTAACTGTAGTTTTGTTTTACAACAAATAATAAACATTTATTAATTTTTATGATCAGTACCAATCCACCAAGCATATTCATTGTGAAATAACATTCTAGGGCTTACCTGGATGACAGTAATCACAGGTCCCAGGACTATTAACACACAGTATTTTCCCCAAGCCCTACCTACCCCTCAAAAATTAAAGCAAATTCTGTACCTCAAGTCATTCACTAGTCAGTTAATCCAAGAATACAGGTTAATTTTTTTGAAAAATGAACAAATGTTGAAGAAGGAAAAGGAAAGAATAAACAACAAACACTAACCTCCAGGTAGGTTCTGGGAACAAGACCTTTGTCTCCTTTGGCATTCTTACCCATCCACCAACCATCAGGGTTTTTTTCAATTATATGGAGAATTTCCCCTTTCTTAAAGCAAAACAAAGTAAACAACATTTAAAATTCAATTTTACCCCTAAAATAAGAATTATCAATATTAAAACTATTTTAATATAATGAAGGATAAAAATCATATGACATCAAGAGATGCAAAAAAAAGCATTGACAAAATCTAATACCTATTTATGACAAAAACTCTCAGAAAAATGGGAATAGAGGGAAAGTACCTCAACATAATAAAGGCCGTATATGACAACCCACAACTAACACCACTCAATGGGGAAAAGCTAAAAGCACTTCCATTAAGATCAGAAAAAAGACAAAGATTCCACTTTTACCACTCTTACTCAACATAGTACTGGAAGTCCTAGCCACAGAAATCACATAAGAAGAAGAAATAAAAGGCATCCAGATTGGAAAGGAAGAAGGAAAACTGTCATTACTTGCAGATGACATGATACTTTACACAGAAAACCCAAAAGACTCCACCAAAAAACTACTAGAACTGATAAATGAATTCAGTAAAGTACCACAGTTTAAAATAAATATTCAAAAATCAGTTGCATTTTTATACACCGATAATGAACTATCAGAAAGAGAAACTAAGAAAATAATCCCATTCATAATTGCATCATAAAGGACCTAGGAAAAAATTTAACCAAGGGGATAAAAGGCCTATACTCAGAAAATTATAAGACATTGAAGAAAGAAAATGAAGAAGAGCCCTGGCCACGTAGCTCAGTTGGTTAGAGCACTGTCCCAATATGCTAAGGTTGAGGGTTTAATCGCTGATCAGGGCACATACAAGAATCAACCAATGAATGCATAAATAAGTGAAACAACAAATTAGAGTCTCTCTCTCTCTCTCTCTCTTTTTCTCTCTCTGAATTCCCCCTTCCTCCCTCCCCCTTCCTCTTGCTCTCTAACATCAATATATATTTTAAGAAATTAAAGAAAGTACAAATAAATAGAAGCATATACTGTGCTCATGGATAGGCAGAACTAACATCATTAAAATATCCATACTTCTCAAAGCAACCTATAGATTCAATGCAATCCCAATGAAAATGCCAATGGAGTTTTTCACAGAACTGGAAAAAATAATCCCAATATTAATATGGAAGCACAAAAGACCCCAAATACCCATAGCAATCTTAAGGAAGAAAATCAGAGATACCTGATATAAGCTGTACTATAAAGCTACAGCAATCAAAAACAGCATGGTACTGGTATAAGAACAGACACATAGATCAATGGGGCAGAGTAGAAAGCTCAGAAATAAACCCATGACTATATGGTCAATTGATATATGTAAAAGGAGGCAAGAACATACAATGGGGTAAAGACAATATATTCAATAAGTGGTGTTGGGAAAACTAGACAGATACATTAAAAAAAAATAGTCCACCTTCTTACACCAAACAGAAGGATAAACTCAAAACAGATTAAAGACTTAAATGTAAGACTTGAAACCAGAACCTCCTAGAAAAAAACACAGGCAGTAAAATCCCTGACATAGCTTGTAGCAATATTTTTTCTGCTATATCTCCTTGAGCAAGGAAAACAAAAGAAAAGATAAACATATGGGCCTACATAAAACTAAATGTTTTTTCACAGCAAAGGAAACCATCAATGAAAGGAAAAAACAACCATTTGAATAGGAGAAGATAACTGCCAATGGTACATCTGATAAGGGGTTAACATTCAAAATTTATAAAGAACTCCTAAAACTCAACACCAATAAAACAATCATATTAAAAAATGGGCAGAGGACCTGAATAGACACTTCTCCAAAGGGAATATACAGATGGCCAATGGACATATGAAAAGATACTCAATATCACTAATCATAAGAGAAAAGCAAATTAACATTACAATGAGATATCACCTCACACCTGTCAGAATGACTGTCATCAATAAATCAACAAATAACAAGTGTTGGTGAGAATGTGGAGAAATGGGAACCCTTATACACGGTTGGTGGGAATGCAGATTGGTACAGCCATTGTGGAAAACAGGATGGAGGGTCCTCAAAAAAATTAAAAATTTAACTGCCTTATGACCCAGTGATTCCACTTGTGGGAATATGTATTAAAAAATCCAAAACACTAGTTCAAAAGAATATATGCACTTTTATGTTCATTGCAGGATTATTTACAACAACCAAGATATGAAAGCAATCCAAGTGCCCACCAAAAGATGAATGGATAAAAAAGCTGTTATACATATGTATAACTCCTGGAATAATCCTCAGCCATAAAAAAGAACAAAATCTTACTATTTGCAATAGCATGGATAGACCTAGAAGGTATTATGCTAAGCGAAATAAGCCAGTAAGAGAAAGACAAATACCATATGATTTCACTTACAGGTGGAATCTAAAGAACAAAATAAATAAAACAAAATTGAAACAGATTCATACACACAGGGAACAGACTAATGATTTCCAGAGGGGAGGGGTTGGAGGACTGGGTGAAAAAGTCAAAGGGATAAAGAAGTACAAAGTGACAGTTACAAAATAGTCATGGGGCCCTGGTCACTTTGTAAAGTATATGATTGTCTAATCACTATGCTATCCCTCTCAAATAATAATACAAAATAGCCCTGGCTGCTGCGGCTCAGTATATTGAGTGCCAGCCTGCAAACCAAAGTGTCCCCCATTCAACTCCCAGTCAGAGCACATGCCTGGGTTGCAGGCCAGTTCCCTGGAGGGAGCATGACAGAGGCAACCACAAACTGATGTTTCTTTCCCTCTCCCTTCCCCTCTCTAAACATTAATTATTAATTAATCTTAAAAATACAAAATAATATTAAATATAAACTTTAACTGAAAAATAATATTTAAAAAATAAAGTCTTAAAGGAAATAAATAAATAAGTAGAAGAATATTGCTCTTTTACCATTTTACTACCATGTAAATTTGGTAAAAAATTCATGACTCTTCTTATTAAATCATTACTATTTCTTATTTTATTTAAAGACATTGAGTGTTCAAAAACTTATTATCAGGAATATGTAACATAGGCTTAAAGATAGAGTTTCCTTATCCTGTTAGATATGCAAACTGATTTTGAGGTTAAGTTCTGGTCTTGTTTCTACCTGCCTTAAATGTAAGATCCCCAGTCTGCTGACCAGTAAAATCTCCAACAGCAATGTATTCATTTTCTTGTTTCTCTTCCTCTCCCATTTCTTCTTCTTCCCCATCACTTTCTTCACTTTCTTCATCATCGTCGTCATCTTCTTCATCTTCTTCAGCAAAAGCATCATCTTCCTCTCTTTCAGTTAGTGCCTCAATTCTGCAAAAAAATAATCCTATGACAAGAGTCACGTGAAATGACACTTATAACAAGCATGAGTGTAACATATATATATATATATATATATATATATATATATATATATATATACACACACACACACACATGTAGAAGAACTGGCCTGTCTTTGGAACTGGCAAATAAAGGAAATAAGGGGAAAGCACAGCTAACGGTTCCTACTATCCAGCTAAGAATATGGGACTTGAGGGACTGCGTAGTGAAGGGATCATATCTGAGGAAGGTGACAGGGTAGGGCATATGCTGGACTAGAGGCCAAGAGACTTGTGCACCAGCCTTGGATTCATACGCTCAGCAAATGCTACTTGAGCATTACTACACAGTGCTTAGTGTGCAGGCTCTGAGTGTGCAGGCTTTAAATTCTGGCTCTGCCCTGCCTCACTGAGTAAGAACTATGAGTTACAGGCTTCTTTTGAGCTCTCCATTTCTCACTGGTAAAGTTGAGATAAATCCTTGCACTGCCTCAAGAGGATTAGATAAGTTACTGACTCCCAGTATTTTTGGAATAGTGTCTGCCCACTGCAAGCTTTTAATAAAAGTCAGCTCTGATGACAACGATCCATGTCAGACACCATGACACAAAGGTAAACCAGACACAATTCTCTGTAAATTCTCAAGGAGTTTACAGTGAGAATTTAGAAAATGGATAATTATGCTATAGCTTAATAGGTACTAGAATGGAGGTATACACAGAATACTATGGAACCTAACACAAGAGGGACCTAACTTAGACTGCATGGGTGGGGATCAGGAAAGACTTGGAATTAGGTCTTGATAGATGACTTGAAGTTAATCAGGCAAAAGGAAGTAGCAAGGAGGGGAAAGGAGCAGAGAAAGGAGGCTCAGGATCAGAAAGCTAAGGTCATGAATGGTAGGACAAGCCTTAAAGACAAAGAAAAAGGTGCCCTGGCTGTTGTAGCTCAGTGGATTGACTGCCAGCCTGCAAACCAAAGGATCACCAGTTTGATTCCCAGTCAGGACACATGCTTGGGTTGCAAGCCAAATTGTGCCCTCAGGAGGGGGCATGTGAGGGGCAACCACACATTGATGTTTCTCTCCCTCTCTTCCTCCTCCTCTTCCTCTCTCTCTAAAAATAAATAAAAGAAAAAGGTGGGGATGTGAAGAGGTGAGCTCTTCACATTCTGGAGCCCACTGAACATCATCTTTAAGGCACTCACTAAGAAAGAAGTAAGGGAAGGGAAGGATCTGCTCTGCACTTAGAAAGATGACTACAATATGGGGAACAGACTGGCGGAAGTGCTAAAGGGAAGATGGCTGTGAAGAGTAACACATGACATTTCGGAAAGATATGAAGGACGTAAAATGGAAGGTGAAGGAAGAGATGGGTTCAAATAATACTGGCTGGGATAAGTCACTAAATCTCTCTCAGCTTTGTCATTCAATACTCAGCAAAGTCATCAATCACAGGGCACCTACTGTGTGACAGATGCACTTAGGATACAAAAACAAAAAAGAGGTCTTTGCTCTCCTACAGCTTACATTACTGAAGCTTATCTTTAAAATGGAGCCATTTTGGCTTCTGGTCAGATGGCAGCATAGGTAAATACAATACTTGTCTCCTCCCACAATCTCATCAAAATTACTAAACTGCAGAACCATCACTCAGAACCACCTGAAATCTGGTTAAATGGAAGTCCTACAACCGGGGAATTAAAAAAAAGAAGCCACATCGAGACTGTGGCAGAGGTGTGGAACAGGCTGGACCCACACATGAGTGTGGTCCAGCAGATAAAAGCTGGAAGGGACATCTTGGCTATGGAGGTCCCCCTAAGGAACGAGGGGTCCAAGCCCCACACCATGCACTCCAGCCCCGGGTTTCAGTGGCAGGTAGAGAAGTCCGCATAACTTTTTGCTGTGGAAACCAGCAGGGATTGAGGCTGAGGGAGACAGAGGGCTTCTGGAGTCCCAGGCAGTTCCTCCTAACCCTGGAAAGGCCACAGCTGATCTGAGACATACAAACTTTTTTCTTAAATATTACTACATATACCAGGTGCACAGGTTCAAGGTCATGACTAGCTATGCATTTGTACTTGACTAATGTTTAAGCCATCAGTTTGATTATAACACGTGTTTCATAAGGATGTGTAATATTCTACAGTGAATTATACTTGAGATATTGCAAACTCCAAGTCAGTGTTGGTATTTGGCTTTTTTTCCCATGAACTTTGAAGTCAGTATTATGGTGTTTGTTTTTTCATCCACTACTGAAAATGGCTAGAAAAATATATCAATTCAATAATCCAAGAGATGTTGAAGAACTGCAACAAATGCTACTTGAGTCTGATGATGAGAATGATAGAGTCAAATGTGAAAATGAGAGTAATTTAGAAGATGATTATGTGGAAGTTCACTCAAAAGATTTAGATCCCGAGCAAGACATTTCTAGTAAAGAGAGTGAAGATAAATTAGATATGAATGAAGAGTATTTTTCGGAAAGAGTAAATGATGGAGGAAAAATCCAGTTAAGAAGACAAATTAGAAAACAGGCACAGAATATTTTGTGTCAACTTCCATTAGTTCAGCCAAATGCAAAAAATGCCAAGATAGAACTTGAAACTTGAACTGCTTTATCACAAAACATAATAAGATCTAATCTGATTATGTACAAATAAATACATTGATTGTATATGAAGCTGGTTTTCATGAGAAAAAATGCTAAACAGACAAAACCAGATTGAAGACATTTCTAGGCCTCTTATATCTAGCTAGTTTACATTGCAGCAATTGGCTAAATTTGCAGGATTTATGGGCTACAGATGGTAGCAGGATTGAACTTGTTAGACTTATGATATCTGTACCAACATTTACGTTTATGCATAATTGTATCAGGTTCGACAACAAACTGACCCACTTAGAACACCTGAAAAGTGGACGAATTAGTGACTATGAAAGACATTTTCTCAGCATTGGTAGAAAGCTGTAAATTATATTACTCTATGGAACAGAATGAACGACAGATGAAATGTTACCTGGATTTAGAGGCAAATGTGGGTTTAAACAATATATTCTATCCAAGCCCAGTAAATATGGCATAAAAATTTTTGCTATAGTCAATTCAAAAGTGTATTACACAGGTAATCTTGAAATAAATGCCAGTAAGCAACCTGAAGGTCCTTACTTGATTAGTAATAAACCTGCAGATGTAATCAAGAGAATTGCAGAACCCATGTACTCATCAGGTCATAAAAGTACAGCAGATAACTGATTCAGATATAAATCTTATCTCTGACTTGAAAGAGAAGCGACTTTCATTATAGGTGCTGTTTGTAAGAATGAATCCCAACTACCCCCTGAATTTGTGTCTTCTAAAATCAGGCTGAAAAAAATCCAACTTATTTCCTTTCAGTGTAGATTGCATACTTCTATCTCATACACCCAAAAAGGGAAAAAATGTAATTTTTGTTTCAAGTATGCATTTTGATGACATCATAAATTTAGATTCACAAAAGCCTGCTATAGTAGACTATTACAACCAAATGAAATCAGGAGTTGACACTGTGGACCCAATGACAGGTACATATAATGTGGCCAGGAACACCAGAAGATGCCTATGGTTATATTCTACACAATTTTGAATACTGCAGGAATAAAGGCTCAGACTACTCGTGTGTTGAACAGAAATGTAAAAATTAGGCACAGAATATTAGAAATCTCATTACACAGTGTCAGAACAAATCAATAGGCATTCAGAAATCTCTCCAGGTGTGCATAAGCCTTTACACCTGAAACTTTATCAATTTCAAACACAAATGGAAATTCTAATGATGACAGAGATGAGACTCCCCCAACAAGCAGAGAAAGATGTGTTAGGTGCCATGCATCCAAAATGAGTTGCTTATCAAAATATTTCTGCAAGTGTTGTGGAAAGTACTTCTTCTTTGAGCACAGCAGTATTGTTTGTGATGACTGTTACATTTTGTAAAGCCAGCTATTGAAGCTTCTGATTAATTAATGTTAAAGGCATTTTTTGCTTGTAATTTTTAGCAATATCCATGTTTCTGTTGAGAACATATTTCTTTGTTTAATAATTTCTAGATTGTAACTGCAAATAAAAATCATATATTTTATTATATAAATAAACACAAATTTGCAGCGGGGTTTTTTTTTTTTCACATTTCAGCACATACTAGTAATGAATGTATCTTTCAGATGCATGTGATCTACATTGTAAATTTTTTTACCATGATCTCTGCGGGGTTGAAGGGTCCATGCATGGACATTCTCAGATTCACTCCCTCTGAGGTCCAACAGCTTGAAAGACACCAGGGCAGATGGGGAGGAGCTGAATTATCTGGAATCATGGCAAGAGCTGAGGGGGCAGCTTTCTCCCAGACAGAACTGCTGGCAGAAGCCATTGTTCCTTTGATGAGCCCTCCCCACAGAGAGCAGCAGGCTGGCGTCATATCTGAGTCTCCACAAACCTGGCTCACACTGTTTGCCCTGCCCTGGTGATTCCCCAAGGCCCTTCCCCACCAAACTTTCAGGCCCACCCAAGCTGTTTCCAGGTGCATTTCCATATGAATGACCTGTCTTTGGCTCATGCTTTAGATTTTCTTAAAATCTCTCAAACAAGCAGCTCTAGCCTCAGTGTGCCCCATACCTCTCACTAAATGACCCCACGCTTGGCACTAGCAGCAGCTGACTTTGGTTCACATCTTGACCCTGCCTGAGCACCTCCAAGCCCAGCACAAGTAGCACCCCCAGCGAGGAATGCTGGCTGGGGACCCTGGGCGCCAAGAAGCTCTGCCCTCAATGAAACACTATCAAGCACCCTGAGACCTGCTGAGAATCTACTTATCAGCTAGCCACCTCAGGCAGACTCTGTCTCAAGCAGCCTCATCTTCCTGCCTCTGTGATGTGAGCCTATCCCTTATACATATATATGTGTGTTCACACATACACAAACACATACAGTCCTCTGGAGCCAGAGTGGAGGCTGAGGCCCAGGCCCTGCCTGCTGGCTCCCATCAAAACTGGGGACCATAATTAATCCAGGTTCTGTTCTGCAGGTGGGGCAGGCCGGTAGGTATAGGTGAAGAGGGTAGCAGCGCAAGAGTCCTGAGATCCTGCCCCCAGACAGACAGACATGCAAACACCAGACTGAAGCACATGTAATACAGACCATGTATGTTTACAATGTTGTATATAAATGGGATAACTTCTCACCCTCACCCTTCCTCTCCCCTTTGGTTGTATGATTTTTCTTTTCCTTTTAAGAATACCTGGAAGCAGTGCCTCCTTTAGGGCTGGCTGGGAGCTCAGCCCATCCACCTCTTGGGGTGCCTGCCTCTCCCTCTCCCATGGTGTCCCTTCCCTCTACCATGTGCTCAGTGTTCAGTGGTGTATAAATACATGGCTCAAGGGGCCAGATCCTCTCCTTAGTCTTAGCTCCTTGGGTTCTTTATAAGAAATTAGGGAGGGAAGAGCCACAGAAATGGGAACTGAGCTACAGCAAAGGCTCAGATTGGGGCTGGATGAGAGTGCTCCTCTGCCTAGCCTTCTGCTAAGAACCATTCCTGGGATTAGAGGTGCTATTCCCAGGGAATAGTGTTGTCTCCCTGCCCCTCCCCTGGCCCCATGGTGTGATGCTATGTCTATATATTCTATATGAAGGTACTGGTCCTTTCCCTTTGTAAACTACATTTGACATGCATTAAACCAATATAAATAAACAAAAAGCTAAATAAAATGGAGACAAGCAATCTACTAGATGCATAGTTCAAAATACTGGTTATAAGGATGCTCAATGAACTTAGGGAAAGAATTAATGAACTTAGTGAGAACTTCAACAAAGAGATAGGAAACATAAAAGTGCAACTAGAAAAAATAAAAATGAACCAGTCAGAAATGAAGAATACATTAACTGAAATGAAGAATGCATTAAAGGGAATCAACAGTGGAGTAGATGAAGCAGAGTACACAATCAGAGATTAGAAAGATAAGGAAGAAGAAAACACAGAATCAGAACAGCAAAAAGTTAAAAAAAAAAATTTTAATGAGGAAAGTGTAACGAGTCTCTGTGACCACTTCAAGCATACCAACATTCACATCAGGGGGGTGCCAGAAGGAGAAGAGAGAGAACAAGAAATTGAAAACCCAGTTGAAAAAATAATGATGGAAAACTTCCCTAACTTGGTGAAAGAAACAGACATACAAGTCTAGGAAAGGAAGAGAATCCAAAACAAGATGAATCCAAAGAGGCCCACACCAAGGACAAATATTGAAATTAAAATGTTACAGGTTAAAGGCAAAAAGAGAATCTTAAAAGCAGCAAGAGAAAGACAGTTAGTTACCTACAAGGGAGTTCCCATAAGACTGTTAGCTGATTACTCAAAAGGCCAGAAGGTATTGGCAAGAAATATTCAAAGTAATGAAAAGCAGATACCTACAGCCAAGATTACTCCACCCAGCAAAGCTATCATTTAGAATAAAAAAATAAAGAACTTTCAAGACAAGAAAAAGCTAAAGGAATTCATCTCCACTAAACTATTATTACATGAAATGTTAAAGGGCCTTCTTTAAGAAGAAAAAAGATAAAAAACAAGAATAGTAAAATGGCAATAAATACATACCTATCAACAACTGAATCTAAAAACAAAATGAACAAGCAGAGCAAAAACAGACTCATACAGAGAACATTTTGACAGTTGCCAGATGGGAGGGGAATTGGGGGATGGGTGAAAAAGGTGAAGGGAGTAGGAAGTACAAATTGGTTGTCACAGAATAGTAATGGGGATGTAAAGTACAGCTTAGGGAATAAAGTCAATAATATTCTAATAAGTAGGTATGGTGTCAAAGGGTATGAGATTTATCAGGATGATCACTTAGTAAGATATATAATGTCTAATCATTGGGGTGTACACCTGAAATTAATATAACAATGTATGTCAACTATAATTGAAAAAAATTTTTTTCATTAAAATTGAGTCATTTTTACCATTTCTTTTTATCATTTATGTAGGCTTTTTAAAGCTACTTCTTTATCTTATTTGGTAGTAATTGCTGTAGGTATTACAATATGCATCCCTTATCATAGTCTAATCTATATTAATATTACATTACACCAAAAATGAAAGAACTTTAAGATAATATTGTAACAGGGCGCAGTCAGGAGGGGGCCCTAAAAAAGGATTTGGAATGGGGTCCAGAACTCAAGGTTTCCAGGAAATATTAAGATGTCCTCACCCACCCCCAGGTGTCAGTTGGGGGAAGGGACAAATGGAACAGGGCCATTGAGAGTTGTTTTGCATAGCAACCGTTTTGCAGCTAACCTCTGGACTGGTCATTTAACATATCTATAACCTTTAACTGGTTTCATAGACATGTTAAATAGCTGTGGCCATGCTTTGAGCCAGGGAAAAGGGAGTAGCCTCTATCCAGGATGTAACTGGGGGCTGGTGCCCTGAGTTACAGCGCCTGCGTGAGAGCTTGGAGTTGATTGGCTCCACACCTGCCCAGACTCACTATGGCAGCCCAGTAGAGCTGGGAGGATACGGGAGTCCTGGCAGGTGTAATCGATTGTGGGAGAAGTTGCAAATGGGGCTGCAAAGGAGGAGTGGTGGGGGGATTTAAACACAGGCGCAGCAGCCATTGAGGAGAGAGCCATGAGGTTTTGGGCAGAGTTAGGATCCCCTGTTGCCCAGGGGAAAGAGAACCATGTGCTTTACCAGAATGGGGACCTCTGCAGCCAGGTGAAGAAGAAGGCCACATGCTTTTGGTCAGTGTTGACACCTGCAGCTTTGGTAGAAGAGACCCACACGGCTTTGGGATGCTCCCTTTGGCCACATGGCCTGGGAAGCAGGAGAGACTTTGCCTGGAAGAAGGGTGAAAGAACTCTTTTCCAGTAAGCCATGAGAAGGTGCCACATGACTTTGGAGTAATTGGAGATTCTGCCTGGATGGCAACACAGCTGATGGTGTCAGCAACCCAAAACACGGATGTGCGCTTCTTTTCCTGAGACACGGTACCCTGAATTAGGGTAGGGGAGAAGGAAGCACTCTGGGCATCTGTGATTATCCTAAAGGACTTTGATATTTTTATGGGGATATTGGGTCACTGCTTTAAGTCTGTATAGCTTTGAATAAACCTTTCCTTTCCTTTTCACAAATCTCTGGCATTGAGAGAGGTCTTTCCTCTGGTGGCGGACAGAAGAGCCCAGTAGGTATTAGTATACCATCCTTGGGAGGGGCCCCTGTGTTCTGGAACAGTTTTTGGCATCCCTGGGTGGGCCAAATATTGCCCCCCAGACCTCTGTTCTGTAGCACTGTCATCCCATGCACCCTGCCGGCTGTTTCAGCTATTCCTGTGCCTCTGCTGTCACATACCTACTTCTTCTTAGAATCGATCCTCGTTATTTGCAGATTTCATATTTGTAAATTCATCTACTCGCTAAAATTTATCTGTAACCCCCAAATCAACACTTACAGTTCTTTTGTGGTCATTCATGAATGTGTGCAAAGCAGCAAAAAATTTGAGTTGCCCAACGCACATGCTGAGGTCGAACAAAGCGACATTCTGCCTTTTTTCCCCAGCTCTCATACTGTAAACAAGCATCCTTTTTGTAGTCTATTTAGTGCCATGGATTTTGCCCTTTTGTGCTTTTTGTTGGTAATTTGGCCATTGAAAATGGCCCACAAACATACTACCAAAATGCAGTGCAGTGCCCCTAAAAAGATGTAAAGCAGAAAATGTAACATACCATGAGAGATGTAAAGAAGGAAAGGCATAACTGTCATAATTTTCTCTCAGGTAATTTATCACCTAGTTACAGAAACAAGCAGAGATCTGAAGAGCTAAATAAACAAATGTGCAAAAATGTGGGAAAATAAAATTGACATGTTATTCAATGTCAATATTCATATGTAAGAATAAAATTATTTGGATCATCTACTTACATATTTCCTCCTTTTACAAACATTCTTTAAAAATTGGAGGCAGAAACATGCACTGTCTTTCTGCTGGAATGGGTACTTTCTACTTTGCCTTTGCAAAATAGAAGAAAATACTGATGTTACACAGAAACCCAATTTGTGAAAAGCAGAAAGAAAAATATCAACTATTCAGACTCTTCAATGCTGTTTCCTTATTTTTATACTATATCCTGGGAAAATGTTAAGAATCTAGGTGCAAGGACTCTAGAATTTCCACTACTGAGTGGCTGGTACCAGATAACCTTCTAACCAGAAATAGCTATAAAATCTGGACTAATAATCAAAACAATTGTCTAAAGTCACTGAACCACAACCAACGAGGACTGAGATCCTTTACATCTCTCCTGGGTTCTCACACTTTCTACCATACTCGGTAAACCAATGCTGATTGATTATGCTGTTACAGCCATGTGTCTGTATCCTGAATGAAACATTAAAACTACTCATGACATAATATCTGAAAGAAAGCTGGAAGAAGCATACTCAGTTCTATTTTCCCTACTTATGGACATGGCAAGCCCCTGCAGTTGGTGAGTCAGCTTATCCAAGAGATGAAGCTCCTCCTCCTTTTTCTGATGATAGTTTCCGATAGGTGCAGGTTCATCAGCCTAGGAGAGAATATAAGTCCATGTTACTGAAAAATCTGTTTCCTTTATATATTTTTTCCTTTATATTTTTTAAAAGGGAAAAAACCTCCAATAAGTGGTAGGAGACAAAGTAAATTTCAGTATGAGTCTAAATCTCCCTTAGAGAAATAAGATGAAAAGAAATGCAGATGATTAGGTTGGAAAGTAAACCAAACAAAAAATTATGACTTGTTTTTTGTTGTGTTCCCTTGCTAGACATCACAGACCATCTAATTATGGGTGTACTTGGTAAGGGCGACATTCCAGGCAGAGAGTGGCTTTGGTTGTAAAGACAGGCTCCACCCCAGTGCTGCCAGTTCTTGTGAAAACTGTGCCACCTGTAGGAGCCTGTTCCCTCATCAGTGAAATAGAGGTAGTTTCCAAATGTACCCTGCCTCCTAAATTAAAGAATTCTGTGTCACTGTAGAAATTCAGAAGTGACACTCAGGGACACTTGTCTCAGCTGCAGTCATACCTTGGACGTGACTTTCAGCCTTCTGCCTGAACCCCTTGTGAGTGTCTGGCCCTGGCACCTACCTGAAGCTCAGGCTCATGTTCAAAGAACTCCTGAAGGGACTGACTGCCAAGAGTAAGTTCTAGTTCCCCCTGTTTCTGCAGAGTAGAGTCACTAACATCAGAGCTGCCCTTAACAAGCAGCTTCTTTACCACTTTCCCTCGGGGCCAGTTATACCTATTGTGTGTGTGTGTGTGTGTGTGTGTGTGTGTGTGTGTGTGTCCCGCCCTCCCCCATCCCTCTCTCCCACCATGTAATGCAGATTAAAACAATCCTGAACTATAAAACTTACACAGTGTGAAAATAAAAATAGCTTCTTCCTGGACTCTCTGAGTCCTCAGTGCTGACTGAGTTCATTGCAACTGCACTTTTATCAGCATTTGGAGCCCCGACTTCCTGCTCCCAAGCTCACACTCAGTGAATCTGTCAGGGAGTCAGCACTGAGCACAGTCAGACGTCAGCACTGACGCAGACTCAGAATTCCCCACTCTAATGAATTCCCACTCCCTGAAAATCTTTGTGAAAACAAATTTTCTCTAACATGATTAACCATAATACTTACTTTGTTTAATTTCTGAAGAGCATTTTTATTTTCATCGATTGCCTGTTTTAATTGGATACATCTAAATTTTTAAAAAGAGAGGAAAAAATTGATTTTTCTATTGTCAAAACCAGAAAGTTATTTTATAAAATCATATATAAGTCTTTAAGCAGGCCAGTTAGCGACTGTGTAGCTTATGTTTAAAAATCCACATGTAAATGCTTTTCCACCCATTAGTTCAGGATCTTCACGGCCCAGCTCTAAGGTACACAGATGTGAGAACCAAAGCTCAGAAAGCTTCAGTGACGCTGGGCTTCAGTGTCCTGACTCTAAAATAAAAAAAGCACTTGACTTGGAATGCTTCTCCCACTCTAAAATCCACAAAACTAGGACCTAGCCAAGAGGACACTCTAAGAATGATGATAACAGCTCAAAGGTATTGAGCCCCAAGCAGAATTCTAAATAGTTTACAGGCATCACCTCATTAGAGCCTCAGAACCACACTCCCTCCAAATGGAGAAAGGGAGGTGGTTCTAAAAGGTGAACACACTTCTGGCCAAGATGGAGGTGTAGGTAGGTATACGTTGCTTCCTCATATAACCAAAAAGACAGCCACCAATTTAAAAACAAAAAACAGCCAAAACTGCCAGAAAAATGAACTGTATGGAAGTCCGACAATCAAGGAGTTAAAGAAGAAACATTCATTCAGGCTGGTAGGAGGGGAGGAGACAGGCACCCAGGGCAGACAGGATGTGTGGTAAGGCGGCTGCCGGAGGACCAGGCAGTCCCACATTTGCAGGCAGATAAACCAGGAGGAACAACTGGGAAGCAAGAGAGACCACACAACCCAGAGTTCCAGCTCGGGGAAATAAAGTCTCAAAACCTCTGTCTGTAAAATCCTGTGGGGGTTATAACAGTGGGAGTAACTCTCAGCCTCACAGGAGAGTTTGTTGGAGAGACCCACAGGGTTCTAGAATGTACACAAACCTACCATCAAGGAATCAGCACCAGAAAGGTGCAATTCACTTGTGGGTAGCAGGGGGAAGTGACTGAAAGCAGAGAGAAAGCTGAGAAAGCAACACTCTTCCCTTTTTGACCCCTCCCCCACATACAGGACCACAAAGCTGCAGAGGGTGTTGCCCTACCCTGACAAATACCTAAGGCCCTGCCCCTTACCATGTAACAGGTGCACCAAGACAAAAAAAAGATATGGCCCAAATGAAAGAACAGATCAAAACTCCAGAAAAAAACCCTCAGGAACAAGGAGATAGCCAATCTATCTGCTGAAGAGTTCAAAACACTAGTAAGCAGGATACTCACAGAAATGATTGAGTATGGCCACAAACTAAAGGAAGAAGTGAAGGCTATACAAAGTGAAATAAAGAAAAACATACAGGGAACCAACGGTGAAGGGAAGGAAATTGGGACTCAAATCTACAATTTGGAACAAAAGAAGAAATAAATATTCAACCCGAACAGCATGAAGAAACAAGAATTCCAAAAAAAAAAATGAAAAGGCTTAGGAACCTTCGGGACAACTTTAAATGCTTAAACATTTGAATCATAGGGATGGCAGAAGGAGAAGAGGAAGAGCGAGACATTAAAAAATTATTTGAAAAAATAATGAAAGAAAATGTCTCCAATTTGGCGAAGAAATGAGACTTCCAGGAAATCCAGGAAGCTCGCAGAGTCCCAAAGAAATTGGACCCAAGGAGGAACACACCAAGGCACCTCATCATTAAGTTACCTAAGATTAAAGATAAAGAGAGAATCTTAAAAGCAGCAAGAGGAAAGGAGACAGTTACCTACAAAGGAGTTCCCATAACACTATCATCTGATTTCTCAAAAGAAACCTTATAGGCAAGGAGGGCTGGAAAAAAGTATTCCAACTCATGAAAGGCAAGGACCTCCATCGAAAATTACTCTAATCAGCAAAGCTATCATTTAGAATGGAAGGGCAGATAAAGTGCTTCCCAGATAAGGTCAAGTTAAAGGAGTTCATCATTACCAACCCCTAATTATATGAACTGTTAAAGGGACTTATCTAAGAAATAGAAGAAGATCAAAAACTCTGAACAGTAAGATGACAACAAACTCATAACTATCAACAACTGAACCTAAAAAAAAAAAGAAAACAAAAACCAAGCAAACAACTAGAACAGGAACAGAATCAAGAGAAATGGACATCACACAGAGGGTTATCAGTGGGGAGAGGGAGGGGGAGAGGGAGAAGGTACAGGGAAGAAGAAGCATAATTGGTAGGCATAAAATACAAGGGGGAGAAGTTAAGAATGGTATAGAAAACAAAGAAGTCAAAGAACTTATAGTACAACCCATGGAGAGAACTAAGTGGGGGGTGGGGAGAAGCTGGAGGGTTGGCAGGGACAGGGCAGAGGGAAGATAAAAGGAGAAAAAATTGGGAAAACTGTAATAGCCTAATCAATAAAATATACTTAAAAAAGTAAAATCTAGTAAAACAAGTAAAATCACCCACATTTTTTCTTTCATTATTGTTTAATTAATTCAACTTGACATAAATTCCTTTAAAAAAATCAATCCTGCTAACAAATGTAGTTAATTAAATTCCTTTAGACTTTTAAAATTTATATAAACTTAAATTTGCTTTTAATTACTTTGAATGCCTGACTTAAGTAAATGTTTTTCAAATAATTCTAATGAATCATTTAAACTAGTAGAATGACTCTCATGTTCTTTTGAATGTTACAAGCTCTTTAAATACCCCAAACACACAGATTACCTTAATGATGTCCTAAACTTAATACAAAAGTATTAATAATCTAATTCAATGTATTCCATTGTGACTATATAATTTTAAACTCTATTTAAACTCTTCCAGTGATTAAAAAAAAAGTCAAAAGAAAACAAAAACATGTATCCACCAGGAGCATTTGAAATCTTGGTTTTCAGCATTGTCTTCAGATTGGTTCAAATAAACACATAAAAATTCTCAAAAAAAAATACACAGACACAAACTTATCCACCAAGAGAGCAATTTTCCTACCTCAGAAATTGTTAATAGGCAGGTTTCTGACCAGGTCACAGGATCTGGGGCTACACAGGCCACGGACCTACCATAATCCTGCCCAAGCCACCAGTGTTCACTCTGAGCAGTTCTGTGTAGTTGCTATCACAACAGCAAGTCTACAACCTTCAGGTTTAGAGTGGTTTCTCCTAGATCCAAGTTATACCATGATGTAATTCTCCCACTGGATTCACACAGATCAAGGCCTGCATCTCCACTGCAACCCCAGTCACGTTCCTTCTCTTGCCGGACTGAATCCTGCATTCCTTAACAAACTTAAGACATCTTTATTGCCATCCTACTTTAATGTCTTATACAAAAGTATAGTTAGACAAATATGTCATATAGCAAAATAATGCTAGACAAAGTAACTAACCATCGTGAACTTTAATTTTCTTATGGCATTACTGTGAAAAATTAAGAAAAAGTTTTTAGAATGAGGACCACACTGCTTGGTTTATAAGAGTACAAAATAAATTTTCTCTTTTTAACATCTGTAATTCTCTAACCTTATCATTCCAATATTTAGACTTGACAGATATAGTTGCAAGTAATATTATAAAATACATTTTGAAAATTTTCATTGTTACCTCAGTATTATTTCTCATTATTACTTTATCCTTTAAAAATTTGTACTAATAAAAATAACAAAAGAAATAGCCTCAAACAGTTTCTATGCTATAAACACAGCTCATTTGAAATACAAAACAGCCCTGGAAAACTTAGGAAATTTAGTACGCTTTTACCTTTGGTAAATATCTCGTCTTTTACCGGCTTCTAGAGCTCCTTTTGATCGACTCTCAGAAAGCAAACTATCAACCTACAATAAACAGAAATTGTTTAAAATACCATATTCTCAAATACAATATTACCTTGGAAATAAAATTGTAATCTTTTCCCACTACTTTATGATAAACACATACAATAAAATGGAAAGAATTTCACAGTGAACACCCATATACCCACCAGTTACATTCTACCATTAACATTTTACTATACTTACACCCTTTTATTTGATCCATCTATTCATCAGTCGGTCTTATTTTTTATGCATTTCAAAATAAACTGCAATCATCAGTACATTTCCCCTAAATAATGTACCATGGGTATCACTAACTAGAGTTTGATTTTTGATGTAAAACTTACTTACAATGAAATGTACAAATCTTAAATAAGCATCTGTATACACCCATGTGACCCAATCCCATCAACATACAGAAAAGTATCGTTACCCCAGAATGTTCCCAGAAAGTATGTACTCTTTTAATATATATATAATTATTATTTATTAGTTATCTATAAACTTATTTTTCAGAGAGAGAGGAAGGGAGAGAAAAAAGAGGGGAACATTGATCCGTTTCCTCTTGTATGAGCCCAGACTGGGTATGAACCCGCAACCCAGGCATGTGCCCTGACCAGGAATCAAACAAGCAACCTTTCAATTTGCAAAACAATTCCCAACCAACTGAGCCACACAGGTCAGGGCTGTGTCCTTCTGTGTAATCCTTTCACACAACATATTTTTGAGATAATTCTGTATTGTTTGTTGTGTGTCGTTTGTTCCTTCTTATTGCTTAGTATTCACTGTATGATTATTAGTTTGTTTATCCTCATTCTTAGGTCTTATACCTTGACTTTGTGTTTTCAAACACTACATGTAACTTTGTCAATGTATCCAAAACAGAGCTATTTACTTCTGTTGGGTTCTTTTCTTTAAATGATGTGAAGACACAGTAGACAAAGAGAAATAGAAGTCTACTAGCTTCTCTACTTTTGCTATTTTTCATCTGAGTGTTATTTCCACCACCATACACCTGGTGACCATCATCACCTCAGGCATGAACCAGTTGTGCTCCTGTCTCCTGGACACCAAGTTGAAATCTGTTCTGTGTTTCACTTTAGGTGCCCTCTGTGGGGACAGAGAAGAATGAGCTCACACTATTGAAGAGCCCTTCCTAGACAACAAGGGTATCCAAGGCTCCTGAGCTAATTCTCCAGGTAGAATAATCCTTGTCAATAGTTTGTTTTGTTTCATCTTTATTTTAATAACAATTTTGGTAGTTTACACCTCAAAATTTTCCCGGTTCTCTCAATGTTCCACTAAATTACAATTAGATACAGAACTATATTAAACATCTAGCCAAAGGTCAGCTAAAGTCAACACCTCACCAAGTTTTAGATTTACCACAAGAGTATCGTGTTTTTCTTGCACCACTATAATCCCAGTAAAGTTACTTAAGAAATATTTATCCATCAAATCTTTGGTACTCTTTAATTGAGAGTCCCAAACTGGATAAAATATGAGCATTCAATAAATCTCTTGTCTGCCATAGATTATAAAATCATCTGATTTAGTGGAAAAACACTTGGTAATAGATGAAATGGAAAAAGTTAAATCAACAAAGTAAAATAAGAATTTCAGAAAATAAACAACTCACTTTTTTATTTTTTAAGCAATATACCTTTGGTATTCAAAATCATGACAATATCAAAATGGTTGGAGAGAAACATAATTATCCTGAGCACACCACCAGTCACCATTCTAGCATGTTTCCTCCATATGTGTATATATATCTACATCTTATTGAAATATTGTATATTCAAATTTACCTTTTTCTAAACTGACATTTTATCACAAATAGTTTCCCTAATACTGTACATTAAAATCTCTAACAAAATTTGGGACTTCCGGCCAAGATGAAAGCATAGGTAGACACACTGTGCCTCCTAGCACAACCAAAATAAGGAAAACAACAATTTAGAAACAAAAAACAACCAGTACTGACAGAAAACTGAACTGTATGGAAGTCCGACAACCAAGAAGTTAAAGTAGACACATTCACCCAGACCAGTAGAAGGAGTGGAGTCCAGAGGCCAGAGGGAGAGGGGTCGGGACAAAGTGGTGGCTGGCAAACCCAGATGTGCAAGGTGGCAGCGGACCCAGCAAGGTGGCAGACTGTGGAGGGGCACAGCATGCAAGGTGGCTGGCAGACCAGGGGTCCCACATTAGTGCGCAGATAAACCAGGCGAAACTGGGGAGCAAGACAGACAGAGCAACCCAGGGTCCCAGCGCAGGGAAATAAAGCCTCAAAACAGTAATTGAAAATACCTGTGGGGGTTGAGGTGCTGGGACAGACCCACAGGGTCCTGGAACATACACAAACATACCCACAAGGGAATCAGCACCAGAAGGGCCCAGTTTGCTTTGGGGAAGTGGGGGAAGTGACTGAAATCCAGCCGAGACTGGAACAAACGCCATTGTTCTCTCTCAGGCCCCTTCCCCACATACAATGTCACAATCCAGTGACTGGGTAGCCCTGCCCTAGTGAACACCTAAGGTTCCACCCCTCACTACGTAACAGGAGTGTCAAGACAAAAAAAAAATGGCCCAAATGAAAGAACAGATCAAAACTCCAGAAAAAATACAACTAAGTGACAAGAGATAGCCAACCTATCAGATGCACAGTTCAAAACACTGGTGATCAGGATGCTCACAGAATTGGTTGAATTTGGTCACAAATTAGATGAAAAAAATGAAGGCTACACTAAGTGAAATAAAGGAGAATGTATAGGGAACCAATAGTGATGGGAAGGAAACTGGGACTCAAATCAGCGGTGTGGACCAGAAATATTCACTAGAAAAGAATGAAGAAACAAGAATTCGAAAACATGAGGAGAGGCTTAGGAACCTCCAGGACATCTTTAAACGTTCCAACATCTGAATTATAGGAATACCACAAGGAGAAGAGGAAGAGTAACAAGTGGAAAACTTATTTGAACAAATAATAAAGGAGAACTTTCCCAATCTGGCAGAGGAAATAGACTTCCAGGAAGTCCAGGAAGCTCAGACAGTCCCAAAGAAGTTTGACCCAAGGAGGAACACACCAAGGCACATCATAATTACATTTGCCAAGATTAAAATGAAGGAGAGAATTCTAGAAGCAGCAAGAGATAAGGAGACAGTTACCTAAAAGGAGTTCCCATCAGACTGTCAGCTGATTCTCAAAAGAGACCTTATAGGCAAGAAGGGCTGGAAAGAAGCATCCCAAGTCATGAAAGGACTGGATTCATAGAGAAACCCAAGATTGCTCTATCCAGCAAAGCCATCATTTAGAATGGAAGGGCAGATAAAGTGCTTCTCAGATAAGGTCAAGTTAAAGGAATTCATCATTACCAAGCCCTTGTGGTATAAAATGTTAAAGGGACTTATCTAAGAAAAAGAAGATGAAAAACATGTACACTAAAATAACAGCAAACTCACAATAATTAACAACCACACCTAAAGCAAAAACAAAAACAAACTAACAAACAACTAGAACAGGAACAGAATCATAGAAGTGGAGATCACATTGAGGGTTATCAACAGGGGAGTGGGAGGAGGAGAAGGGGGGAAAAGATACAGAGAATAAGTAACATAGATGGTAGGTAGAAAATAGACAGGGGGAGGGTAAGAATAGTATGGGAAATGTAGAAGCCAAAGAACTTATATGGATGACCCATGGACATGAACTAAAGTGGGGGAATGTGGGTGGGAGGGGGTGTGCAGGGTGGAGAGGAGTGAAGGGGGGGGGAATGGGACAAATAGCATAATCAATAAAATATATATTTTTTAAATCTCTAGCAAAATTTTAATCACAGTACTATAGCCCCTCCCAAGTTATGTATCCATTCTCCATCACTGATCATTTCAGACTAGTTGTATCTAGTCTTTTCTATGATGAGTAATACTGTGATGAACACTTTTATGTATTAATATCTCCCAAATTTTAAAAACTATGTACGGTAAATTCCTGGAAATGTAATCAGCAGCCTAGGAGCATGAAAATTTGCCCCACCTCATCCACTGCTTTGCAGAGTTGCTGTACCTTATAGACCACAGCAGTGCATGCAGGTGCCTGTTCCATCAGCCTCCCCACTACTGAGGACTGTGATTTTTAAAAGGATTGTGGATCTTTCCTTTGCAATTGCTTATCTTTGAAGTTAACTTTTCTCATGTATCTTAATTACTTGCATTTCTCCTTTAGTTCAAGTCCTTTGTTCTTACTCGTTACTCTTTGACCATTCCCAGTTCGCTTGAGTTCAGGGGATTCCCACAGGAAAAGCCTCCATTGGAGAAAGGCTGGAGGGAAAGTGGTCTAGAGACCGCAGAGTGGTGGTGGGCGCAGAGGAGACTGGAAACGGTTACTGTTAAAAGGATAGATTCCGAGTTGAAGTGGGTAAGGGAGGTGCCAAGTTCGGAGAGGGAAATGTTAGGGTGAGGGTGCTCAGTTGAATGTCACCGCTTCGGGAGGCTAGGTCCCTGGGGTCGGGTTGGGAGGAAGAGGAGTCAGAACTCGGGTTAGGTGAGAGATGCTGAGATACGAGCATTATAGTTGGGAGTGTCGCCCGTGGATCTGGGCAGCTCCCAGGATTCAGACACCGAGCTTTCGAGCTTTCACCCTGCCAGAGCCCAGACAGCCCCACGGCTCAGGCCTCGAGGTACAGCCAGACGTACCTGCTGCTTCAGCTCCCGACCCTGGCGCTGCAAGGACTGCAGGGAATTGCGAGACCGCCACGCCAGCATCTCCTCCGTCTGCTGGTGGCGCGCTGGTCGTCAAGGAAACCGCCTCTGCGACCCCACAGTGACGTTGGTGGGTGACGCCATCAGCACGCGTCCTCCTCAGAGCCTCGCACTCACGAGCTGGCGTAAAATTTGCTGGCAGTGGTGCTCTGTCGCGTATCCCTGTCGTTGCAGGCCGGGAGCTCTCGGCGCCCGGCACAGGTGGTCTTTTTTTCCTGGACAACCCAAAGGCTGGTGGTAGAGGTAGGAGGATTCCCACAGTCTCCAAAACTGCACGACCCACAATACCACACTATTGTCGCATGCCTGCTGGATCCCTCTGTGATACGCCACTAATTTTCTGAATCCAGTTTTGCTTAAGATACCATGTAAGCATCTTAAACTTAAATTTACTGCAAGGACAGCTTCCTCTATGGCCCTCATGGAACACACGGTTCTGCTGCATAGTCTGTTTTCAAAAGGCAGTTATTCTTTGCAATTGGGGGTATTGCTGAAGTTTTCATTTCATTCTATTTGCATTTCTGTGAGGACGCTGATTCTGTCCTATAGCCAAGTTGTGAGCAAATTATGATCCGCATTTTACATCTCTCGGATTGTAATAACATTTCCCCCAAGTGGAACTGGATCCTATAAATCCAATTCCCAAACTCCACTACACTGAGTAAGAATATTAATCTAAGCTCACTTTTCAAATGATGAACCACCCTAATATAAATAAATGTCCTCCAGTACCATACACAACTTGATTCCACAGGCCCAACTGCCATGTTATTTATGTGTGGTTTTTATCTTCAAGTATACTATAAAGTGACAAATGTCCACCTCACTGAATTTTCACACTGAACACACCCCCATATAACATCACCCAGATTAGGATACGAAACATTACTAGCACCCCAGTAGTCCTTCCCTCCTGGGTCCTATCCACCTCCACCCCCACCACACACACACACATCAAAACATTACCCTAAGTGCTAAAAGCAAAAATTTTTTTGCCTTTTTGAACTGTGCAATGAATTGTAGTGTGTCCTGGTGGCTTGTCTGGCTTTTCACTCAACATGCTTATGAGATACACTTGTATCACTGTGTTGTAGTTTTCATCCTGGTATTTCACTGTGTGGTGTACTCAGACTCATTCCTGCTGCGGTTGCTGAGCATGTGGGTAGTTTCAGTTTATGGCTATTATAACTAGTGCTACTATTTATATATGTACATAGTGAGAACATATGTGCCCAAACAGTATTGGGCCACAGGGCATGTTTTATGTTCAAGTTGAGTAGATACTGCCTATTTCCCCAAAGTTTTACTGATAAATTAGTACTCCTAAGTGATCTTGTGAGAGGTAAGAAAAAAGAAAAAAAGTGCACTAAAGACAATTCATCATTTATGAAACCCTTGTTTATTTTAAAAATTGTATTTATTTTTAGACAGAGGGGAAGGGAGGAGAAAGGGAGAGAAATATCAATGTTATATGTGTCTCCTGCACCTCCTGCTGGGCATGTGCCCTACTGGGAATCTAACCAGCAACCCTTTGTTTCACAGGCCAGCACTCAGTCCACTGAACCATAGCAGCCAAAGCTAAATCCTTATTTATTTTAAATGTCTATAAATAAATTGAGGAAAAATATCCTCTATCTGATTTATAGAGATTTCCATATAATGGAAATGGAAAAGTTACAGGATCGTGAATATAATTTAACTCTATGTTGGGAAAAATAAATAAACCCCCAGTATATATGAGTATATATATGAACAATGAGAAGGATGCAAAAGACGGCTTTGATTTTACATGTTCTTGTACCATATTCAGAGTTACAAGAATTTATTCCCTGTGGGTCCTGGAACATCATCAGCATCAAAACGGTGGGGTTGGGGGCAGGGGTGGGAGGGGTCACGTACTTTGATGAGTGAAGTCTGTCATTTTAGGGTATATGACTGGCATCCTACCCCATCTCCCAACCTCTTCATTGCCAATTTTAGCTAACATGGGTAAAGTAACATGTCCAAGTGAGACAGCAGTTTTAGGAGGGAAAAACAATCACATTTAAGAAGGGTATGAGGTAGAGTGCTAGAGGAGAAATGGTGACGGACACGATATTAAGGGGAATTGCCCACCACAGAGCTGGGGACACAGAGCCACGGTGTAAAGAGGGAGCAAGCAGAAAACAAGGGAACAATTAAAAGTGGCATTGGGGTGGCTGAAAACCACATAAGCAGCTAGACAGGACTTGGGAGGTAGGGAGGGAAGAGTGGCAGATGCCCAGAGGGGCAGGGATGACAGAACACTGAGGTGAGACAGGAGAGGGAGATGAGTGTGTCAGCGGGCTACACATAACTAGTAGGAAAGGGAGCGACATTGGAACAATCAGATCCACCAGGAACATAGCACATGAAGAGGCCCAAAGAGGCTCAACTGGCCGTAACCTAGACGCTTAACTGGGCATAAACCAACAGTCTGGGAGCACCACATGCCTCAAGAAACCTACCTCATCTCAAAGAGCCTCCACTCCTGGAGCCCCAATGAGCAGTGGTGACTGGGATACTTCAGCAAACTGCAGCCCAGATGGAACAGAGCTGTAGAACCAGCATTTCAGTCCTTCAGTACTGCGTTCACAGAGTGAACTTAAGGTTGGAAGTAACGAAGGATAATGGCCCCAGTAAAATGGAAAACAATAAAGCTTTCTGTGGAAACAACTTTTCTAAATTTTCTAGTTAACATGGAGCTGCCATTACATTGGCTAAGACAAAATTAATCTTTACAGGAATGAACAAGGGTGGTGTTCTAGAAAACATGTCTTGCAGATCCAAAAATAACCAGGGACTTGGTCACTTGCTCTTGCTTTTAGATACAGTTGGGATTTATCACCAAACTCTATTCAAGAGAGTTTCTCCTTCAAATGCCTATTCCGTAATGATACAAATGAAACTTTTTGCCAATAAACGTATACTCTGTACTTAGATTAAGTTGTCACTCCTGGAAGTGCAAACGCCTTAAATATATCGCCATTACCTCGGTTATTTTTACACAGCCTATTACATTCCTCATCAGGTCCAGTAAAACAACGGACCAAAAGGACTCCTACTAGTGCCTTAGACAACTCTGTCTCACAGTTGTAGCAAGGAATTCGCATAGATTCCTTAAGAAACAAGGTATCTGCTCGACACTAACAGATTTTTGAAAATCCAGCTCTCCTGATGCAGGGAACTGCATGGCCAGCATATTCCTTTTCCTTTTAATAAAAAGTTCAAAGATGTTTAAATTTTTATTTTTTAAATAAAACATTCATAAATGCAAGAAGTAATGTCTGTCCAGTGCTCAATATCCATCTTCAACAAGCTATTGAAAACAGAAAAGAGAAAAAAAATGAGAAATACATAATCATTAACTTGAAATTATCCTCTTGTAGAGTTACCGAGACCCTGAACATTTGCACAGCTCCCATGAAAAAAGCCAGGACCAGATGCAAGACCGGACTTCCAGGCCATTGCCCTTTCCACTTTGCCAGGCTGCCAATAACCCAGGGATTCAAACTGGAGTTTACAAAACACCAATGCAAAGACTAGGGTGCTACCAAGGAAATTACTGGCAAGAATGAGAAGGGGGTAAAAGGTGGCAGGGACACCTAGGTCAGACCTCCTTTCTCCTTCCCTTCTTTCCAGTAATGGTATTTTATGATGAATGCGGTGGCACTGCACGTGGTAATTCCCAGTTAATATACGCACTTAACTGAACTAGGACACCACCGCAAGCTACCGGAGACACAGAAATTCCTCCTTTTCCTGGCGTCTGTGGGAGCCAGCCGGCTGCTGTGAGCTGTCGCCCGAAACCCAACCCCACGCCAGAGCCTCCCCGGGCGGCCGCTCTACGTGCTGCTCACCGACACTCTGGCGGCAGGAGCCTGGCTCGGTAGGCGAGGAGCGCGCGCGGCCCGCCTGGCTTCGGAGGCTGGACCCCGGCAGGCGAGACAACGTGGGCGCGCGTGGGCCGGCGCAGCAGACGCCCGGGTCAGGCCAGATCCAGCTTCTTCTGCGTCACCGCCAGCTTGTCCTGCAGTCTCCGCTTCCTCCAGTCCAGGTAGCGCCTCCGCAGCCGGTTCGCCTGCCAGCCCACTAGCACTCCGGAGGCGAAGGCCAACAGCACGAACAGTTGCACCTTCCTCTCGGACACGTCTGCCATCACGGCTCTCCGCCCGCAGGGCCTACGCGTCGGGTGAAGCCGGGAGCTCGTGCAGAGAGGAGGCGTGTCCAGTGCCCGGCACCGCCTTCCGCGGGGAGGGCGGGGGAGGAGGGAGAGGGGAGGAGGGAGCGGGGCAGGAGGGAGAAGGGAGGAGGGCGGGGCAGGAGGGAGAAGGGAGGAGGGCGGGGCAGGAGGGAGAGGGGAGGAGGGCGGGGCAGGAGGGAGAGGGGAGGAGGGAGGGCAGGGCAGGCCCTCTGCGAGCGGCTGGGTCTGTGGTTTGCTGGGGTGTCACTCCTGCGATCACTTTACATTACCCAAAACTTCTTAATAGACTGCAGACTCTCCTGTGGGCTTGATGAAGTAAGCAAGCATGTTGGGGAAGCCCGAATAGCAAAGCACTGATGTGGCCTCTAGGAATAGCGGCACCCTCAACCAACAGCAGCCGAAGTTGGAGCCCTTCGCCCAGCAACGACAAGGAAATTAACTGCCTGCGGCTGAGCAAGGTGGGAAGCAGATTCTTCCCAGCTCGTTCTCCAGCTGAAGATCTAGCCTGGCTGATGCCTTATGAGACCCTAGTAGAGGACCAGGGTGCCCGAACTCCTAACCCATGGGAGTTGTGGCAATCTAGTACACAGCAGGAGAACATTATTTCTCTGTTGTGAAATAATTTCTCTGGCTTCTCTAATCTACCACCAATGAATTTCATGTAACACCCCCACACACACACACTCGCATCTCCTTCTTTGAGTCTAATGTATAAAATAAGCTTCTCCAGAGCATTTTCTCAATCTGTTGAGATTTTGCTTCCTGGTAATTGTCATTAGTTTGGCTCAAATAAACTTCTGAAATTCTCTACAGATTAGGACCTTTCTTTCTTTCTTTTTTTTTTTTTTGATGTTTATTATGTCAACATTATTAATCAATGTTACCCCAATAAATTTAAATAAATAAAAGAAAGAAAACTAAGTCATGAAAGGAAGACCACATACAGAGTCTGAACTCTGAGGCTGGGGCCTCACTGTTCTGCTCACCTTACTGCTCACTGTTTGTTTTTCTCCTCACTGTTTCTTGAGCTCACCAGGCATGGCTAAGAACTTGACTGAGAACATTTGCATGTGTAGTCCTGCTGCCTGGCATACTGTCCTCTCATGTACCTGCATGACTAACTTCCTCACCTCCCTTAGGTTTTTATCAGTTGTCACCTTCTCCAGCAGGCCTACCTGAGTATTTCAAAATCACAAAGCCAGCCAACCCTGCTCTCTGGCACTCCTTAGCTCTGTTTTCCTGCTCTATTAACCTTTTCCATAGCACTTACTGCCTCCCACGTGCTGTAGAATTTTCTTACTCATCACATTTACTGTGTGTTGCCCAGTCCCCATAGTCACATAAACTCCTGGAGGCAGAAATGTTTGTCTCAGGTGAACACTGGCGTGTCCTCAGTGCCTGCAGCAGAGGCTGGCACTCGACAGATGCTTGGCAACTGTTCGGTGCTGAAGGCAGCACAGCACAGGCAGGGATGGCTTCTGGGTGGCTGGCTGAATGGACTCTTGGGAGATAACTAGGATAATCAGAAGACACTAAATATCCCTTGATTTCAGTTTTCTCATTTGTGAGTTTGGTATGATCCTATAGCTCTAAGACATATTTTTTTTCTAAGACATGTTTAAAAGCCAGTGTTGACAGCCTCAGTATGGTCAGTAGGTTCTGTTACTTTAAGCAAAACAATGTGCAATTGGTTACCACATGTTAACCGATGTAAACAAGAGTTAAGTTTCTGTGGCATCTCCTCAATGTAATAACAAAATGACTGAATGAAACAATGCTATTTGAGGACCTGCTGTACTTGGGCCACCGGTATTACTGCAAATCTGAACCTTGCTTGAAATTCTAAGTGGCCTTTGGGCTAAAAATAAAACAGATCATATACACTGGAGCCTTGGACATGGGAACACCTAGGTTGCATTTAGCTGGCAGAGAGACCTTATTTTAGCCGGAGGAAACTCTGGCCAGAAAGGAGAATAGAGCTGCCGGGAAGGAGGCAGGTGTGTAAGATTTCAAATCCCTCTTAAAGAGCCAGAGTGTCCCTGGCTTGACACTTTGGATTTTTTTCCTAGGCTTTGTATTGTTTCAATGGAACATTTCAATAGAATTGATAATGGTCAGCCAGTTTTGAGATGATGCTTAAATTGGGTTTAACAGGTTGAATAGTCAAGTATAATAATCGAATAGATTACAACAGAGCCTTTTCAGTGACTCATCAACTGCCACTGTTGAGTTTGCTATTTGAAGTGCTCGCCAAGGGAAAGATGTTACCATGCATAGTTCTAGATTTTTATTGGTTGTAAGTTTAATTAAGGCATGTAATAGAATCGGTTTCCTCTGCATCTCCAGGACCCAAAGCAACAGAGCACTCATTTTACAAAGCCCCCATAAAAGATGTAGCTTCACCATGATTAAAAGGGAGCATTCAACACAGTAGGCCCTTGAATTTTGGCTGGGAAGAACTCTTGTGGGGCCTGTGCCCACTCCGAGTCTGGGAGTCTAATCGCCAGAACCATTGCTTTGCAGCCTCTTCCCCCGGACTGTGGGAGGTGAGAAGCCCCGTGCGGTTGAGTGCTGGGCTGAGCTCGCTCGACTGCTGCACAGGGCACACTGTGGGAGGCTGGGACCAGGGGAGGTGGGCAAGCAGCACGAAGCAGATGTGTCTGGTTATGTGATCCACGTGTGAATCGTTTCCTCCCATGCTGTGGGGAGAGCTGAGCCTGGATTCTTCCCTTTGGCAGGATCCAAAAAACACTTCCTCCGCCTCTCCAGTCTGTCATTCCGGGGACGTGCACGGTAGAATGGCCCCCTGTAACCTTCTCAGAAGAAGCAGGAAAATCCCCCAGGTAAGACACCAGCCAGGCTCCTCCTAATTCTGAACTGTGTGGTCATCTATAATTCACTCATGATTTCAACAAGTACAGGTTTCCCCTCTATCCAAAAGTAGAGGTTCCTATGAAGTCTTTCTTAAGCCGGCTTGGTGTTCAGTGAAGTAATTACTATTCATTTCTACGGAAAAACCTTTGAGCACTCCCAGACCCAAAATTCAAAGCAGGCACAGTGGCTTTACTTTGTTCATTATGATCAAAATGTTTGCTTTTGTCCAGTTTTGCATTGAAGTGTAATGCCCTTATGAGATCTCTGAGGCTTTTTCGATACCCTAAGGACACAGCTTGCTAAGGGACACACAGAATCAGTGCATATAAAGCCCCAATGCTCCCAGACAGGGCTCCGAGCTGGAAGCTGAGGTGCTGAGGGTGGTTCTGGGGAAGGAGCTCAGTGGACCCGCCCTTGCTGCTCGGAGGCCGCTGCCTCTACCCAGACATGCTCAATGCTGTCTTTGCTCTTCCCCTTTTTGGTAAAAGCGAAAATCCTCCTCAGATTTCTTTCAGTTAGCGAAGACAGGTACTGATGTAGGTCCTTCACCAGTTTTTGCCTTCCTGTACGCCTAGTTACCTTACAGGAACTAGTTTTGTTCTCATTTGGTCAGACCCCTACTCTGGATACAGAGTCGCCTTCCCCTCACACAGTGTTTCTGCCGACTGCCATCTGCAGACTCGCACAGTCCCTCGTCCACCAGCATGGTGTTCCACTCCGAGTGGCTTCTAATCAAGGGACTCCCTGCTGCGGGGTCCAGCGTGGCCATCAGCCCAGGCTCCCGGATGTGCTGGTCTTTCCCGGTTCCCCATCATCTGAAGCAGCTGACCCGGCAGAATGGAGGAACCGGCTGCGACTCTGAGACAAAGCACCACTTGGTGGCCATAGCGCAGGGTCTGGGCAGTGTTCCCAGGAGGCTGCTGAGACTCTCAGTCAGGGTCCATTACATCGCACTGATCTCCGCATGGCCTGGATTCACACGTCCATCAGTCAAGGGTGGACATGGGTGTGGCCCCACCCACTACCACCCATGTTACTCCTAGGGATTTACTGGCATAATTTATACTTTGTGTCCATGTGACCCCATGGGCAGGGGGTCTTCATCCTAAGGGGAGAACTTCCACCAGGAAACACACTGATTTCGCTGGGCTGAAAACCGAGACAGCCGCCTGGCCGCGGAAGGCTCCTCACATTTCTGAATGAACGAGCAAAGAAGGGAGAGGCTGCGGGCTGGGTGAGCGATGCTCACGACCAGGGCAAGCTGGACTGCTGCTCCATAGTGAGGATGAAAGTACAGGAGGTTCCTCAGGGCTTTCTTGGAATTACCAGGCCCTGTGGCCAGAGTCAATTGAAAATGATAAGAAACCAATCCAGGCATGACCAGTGATGGCCCTGACCCTTCAGGAATGAAGCTTAGTGTCATCCATCAGGCAAGAGCCTCAACTGGCTGAGGTGCTCGCTGAGAATGAAGGGAATATGGAAGAAGTGGGCAGTAGAAGAAGGTAAATTTAAATCTCAGCTCTGAAGGGTGACCAGCTACAAAAGCGTGGATTTGACTGCCATGTTTGTTTCGTATTCACTTGTGAATAAGTTGGGATGCTTGTATATATTTTATATGTTAGTTAAGTTTACATAAATGTAAAAAATATAGATTGAGTGATATGTGACCCTCCTGCAAACATGGGTCTCTTCAGGGTGACAGGCAGGGTACTTGGACATTGGATGCCCAAAAATGTGATAAATTGTCCCTCCTCTGCTATACCATGAGGCACAAGAGCTATTAAATATTGTGACCTGCAGGATTGGCTCTCAGGAGCTTCCCAGCCCTGCAGCAGAAATCACTGGGGCACCCTTGCCTTCCCCCGGCCTCGATTAGCCCTGAACCTGGCACACCTCTCTCCCTATGGGGCTGTAGTCACACCTGTCTTCCCTTCAGCAGGTCATGTTCCTGGAGGGCTGCGTCATGTCAGGAAGGGCCCGGGCTGCTGGGAATCAGCACTGATGGTCACTCCATGACTGCACAGCAAAGGCCTCCCTGCAGAGCCAGCCTGCTGCCTCCGAGTGCCACTCCCACAATTCCAGTGGAGGGGGAGACCAGGAAGCCGGGGAGCTATCATGTTTAAAACACCAGGCGGTGACCCCTGGCTCCCAACCATGGCTCCCCTGGGCTGGGTCCTCTGGGTGAGCTCAGAGCAGTGTCTGTTACCCACTGAGATGGGAGCATTTTGGTACGTTATTGTAGTAGGTATGGCCGTGTGCATGCATGCACATAGGTCATCAGTTGCTGGCATCTCCCTGCTGGATCCCCCACTGCCGCGTGTCTCATCTTCGAAAGCTCATCACAGGAAAGGCTCAACCCCCAGCCTTGTGACACAACCACAGCACAAGACTGTGGAAAAGAACTCAGCAGTCCCAGAGGGACCCTGGGGGCCCACAACCTTTATAGCTCAGGCCCAGCTGCCCCTTCAGAAAGTCAGAAACAACACAGTGAGTGTGTCACCTGGTGATTGTCCAAGACCATGGACCTCAGAAGCACTTGGCCCAGAAGTCACCTTGGCCAGCAAGGAAGAGTGTGGGGGTTTTCCTTGGCCAAGTACACAGAGCCCTGTCCTAGCAAAGGAGAACCTGTCCCTGATCCATCAGGCCCCAGCCAGGGAGGAGTGGCCACGATGTAGCTGCCAGAGAGGCTGATGGCCTCTAGAGAGTGTCCGCCTTAAACAGAATTGTGTAAGGGCAGGGGTGCTGGACATCCTAGGTCACATGCAGCATGAATGTTCATGGAATGAGGCCCAGCTATAGTCTTAAAAGCTGCATTACAAACCTGTCCCCTGCAGAAGAAACCTGCAGGGAAAGGAATTGGGAGGTCATGAGCCAGGGCACCACGAGGATTCAAATTTCACTAAAGGGCAAACATGAAGCCTCCCAGGGGCCTGAGGAGGGAAAGTCCTGCCTGCGCTCAGTCCACTTGCACATGAGCTTCCTTATCTTTCCACATCCATGGGTTGATCCTTTACTTGTTTTTCCCTATATAGTGCTGATGCAATTCTTGCAGTTGAACTAAAAAACTACGAGTCCCTAATATTTGGGAAAAGAAACCTTGCCAAGAGAGGCAGAAGACGTTTCCCCTTTCCCTAAATCACAGCAGGCAGCCGCTGCCCTGGGGCAGGAAGGGGCCCTAGTCAGGGCCGTACTGAGACTCCCCATTTCAGTGGCGGTTGCTATGCCTGTGCAAGCACCTCCAGCCTCTCAGAGCCAGGTGTTCCAAGGGTCTGAGTCTGTTCCTGACCCAGGTTCATGACTGAAATGAACCTGTCCTTTGAGGAAGGGGGACTTCGACATGCCCCTCACTAGCCACGGAGGCAGGACCAGCCCTTCTGCCTTCTCACATACCTAATAAGCTGATGATACTGCAAGACTTCATAGTCCAAGGAGCAATGTAACAGTCTGTACCTTATTGAAAGGAGCATGGGAAGTGAATGAACCAAACCACAATGCCCAGGTTGTAATAGAACCAGGACTTTATAATAATATTGAATCTGGCCTTTACTATTGTCAACACAAGGTCATTGGCACTGATTCGATGTCATCAAGAATCCCCATTTTGGGGTGCAGTGAAGAGTAAAACTTTATTTGATACAAACAGCTCAGTTGTGATACAGTACAGCTGTGAAACAGCTGGAAAGTGTTTCAACTGTTATGAAGCAGCACAGCAAGCCTATGAGGCAGCCTTTGGGCCACAACCCTCTCCGGCTAGACAGCTGTGCTGTGCTCTGGTCTGTCCCACCTGTTCTGGTCCAGTCCTGTCTGTTCCACTCTGCTCCGGTGAGAGATCTTCAGTGTTTCAGCTCCAGCTGGGGAAATTCAGTCTTCAGTCCCTGGTGGAAAGGGGAAGTGTGTTCTCCTAGCAGTGGGAGGATGACTTATCTAGACAGAAGTCCCCATCCGTGGTCCCTGATTGTCCTCATGCAAATGAAGACTCCAAATTCTTGCAGTCTGGTCCAAAAAGCACTGTCCTGATTGGTCAGAATGGAGCCTCTGATTGGTTGGTGGAGATGCTGATGGGCTATAGCAGCACAGCTCCAACCGAGCAGGGAAACCCTCAATTTTATTGATTGAAACACTATTCCAGGAACTCATTTATAAAAGCTGGCTCAGTTGGCAGGAACACAATGCAGGTGGGAAGTTCAGTGTAGGAGACAGGCAGCTCAATGCAGGCTTCTCCCTGAAGTGTGGCTTGCTAGAAAGACTTCATGTCAGAATGACTGTTAGGCTCTACTCTTAAACTTGAGCCCAGTTAGCCACCAGGACCCCTTTTCTGAAGGTATGTCTTCTTTCTCAGGATCTACATTTTCCTCATTTGATCAGACCCTGTCAACAGTCAGCACTCATCAGCACTCAAGTAGGTCATTTTGTCCTGTGTCAGTGCCAGAGGGGCTTGGCTACCTTCTCTGGTTCCATCTAGTCCTTGGGCGAGACTCCTGTGGCAGGACAGTAGTCCCCAAAGCAACCAGAGCCATGGCGCCCAAGAGATCTCTCAGGCACCTGCCAAACTTGAAAAAAAAAATTACAGTCTCATAAAAGCATCCAGAACAACCTGGGAAAAGTTAAAGAACAAAGGCACTTAGTTCATAAGAGAAATTAGGGGTAACTGACAAAAGGTACTTGGCATCAATAGTAAAGGTTTTAACCATTACACATTATAAACAGAAGAGATACAGTGGCTTAATGAACCACTTATGTTGTTCATACAACCACTACTCAAGTTTTCATAGAAAGTCATAAACATTTGATTACACAGAACATCAATAGCTTGACAATGAAACATATTGGACAAATTAGAATAACAATAAGCAAAATAATTTGCAACTCAGACTTTAAAATAACTCTGAGGAGCCAACTGAAAATGTCAGAAAATTCAACTCGCCATTGGCACTTAGGAGCAAAACTGGGATGCCTCTTGAAGGATTTGGCAAGGTTAAGGAGTTCGGTTGTTTTTAATCTTACCTGGGAAGAAATATTTATCCAGGCACAGCAGGAGGTATTGGCTATGGCACAAACCCCTCCTTGGGCTGTGAGCACAACCAAGGGTGAGTGCCGTCAGAGACTGCTCATGCTAAGGAGTCTAAAGTTGTTTACTGGACTCAACTGGCTCTGGCAGTTGAGCAAGCAATTTGATAGACAGTTCTAGTTAAGTTTTACATCATTATGTCTAGTTGAGCTATACCAAGGACCCCGTGAAAATATAATTTTGGAACAGTGATTACCCCTTATCTCCTGAAAAACCTGCTGGAAATCATATCTCACAGAAAGGTCACCTGAGTTATGTTCATGAACAGAGGGCTTCTCACCAAGGCAGTAATCTACTATTGATTAGGCCTTCTTTTCCGGCTGATGAGAACTGGGAGGGGTGGCTGTTATCATGTTGAGGATTATAAAAAAGGATGTCAAGTGACCCAAAAGGCATTGTTCAGATAGCTACACAATCAAATGCCCAAGGCTGATTTTGTGCCACAGACAAAAATATAACCTGTGGGGGCACAAACGGTGCCTGCAAGGATTTACTCATTTATGAATTCATATAACAGGAAGGGAGATAAGAATGTTTTCCAACCAGGGCACTGTCTGTTTTGAACATTCTTCTAAAAGTGCTTCCCAGTACATTTGAACATTGTGGGTTGAACATTTAGGTTCTAGACAGTGTGGCTGTTTCCACTTATAATGGCATTACAAAGGGCAGTTTCCATAGCCATCAGGACTGACTGATACAGGTGTAACCAGATTGAAGGCATTTACAACTTCAGCTGTGAAAGATAGTTGGGTCTTACCTGGGCTGGGTATGACTGATACATAGGGTGCTTTCGGGCATTCACAGGGGAAAGCTAAAACTCATTTTTGCAATTTAACTCAATTAGTTACAGCAGGGGGATGTTTGGTGCAATCAGTAAAGTTAGGAACAGTTGAAAAAACAGCTAACAAAAAAAAAAATCGGTTTTACCAGAGGTAGTAGAGGCAAGCGTCGAATGGCAATTCAGCATTCAAATGGGTCCCATGAGGAAGCTAAGGTTTGAAAGCATCATGTTATAATACTGTTATGTGAAGGTTTCCCATTTACAAGGGTTACAACAAAAATCAGAAAGGACTGTGTAGTTGAGGGTTAATGATACAGAATAACTAAATAACAACCTAAAACATAGCGAAGGTGACTGGCTTGTTACAAGACAATTACGATCACTAATTTATCCAGAAAAATGACAACTATGAAATAAATATAAGCATTATTTATAGCAGGAGTTGACTTGATTGGCCCGGTCCCAGATTCTGGGCAAAGTCATTAGCTTCAATTACCATCTGTTTTTGTTTGAGTGTTTCTCTGCTCTGGATAACTTTCACCTGAGGTCTTCTATAGGCTGGGGCATTCAATCAGGTGAATGAGGTGCAAGTGTAGGAGCCTTTTAAAATAAAAAACATAGATGCATGTATCAATTCCTATTAACCTTGCAACTCAGGCCAGAGAAAGTCCTTGTGGAGATATCCTTTGTGAACAAACAATATATTCAGGTTATAAATGGTGTTCAATGTATTTGTCTCCTGGGGGTATGCTGTGGAAAGAGTGGTCCACCAGCTTGCATTAATTTTGAAAGCCTTTATAAGTCCTTTGCAATTAGTTAGAATGTCTCCTTAATAAGACAGTTTCATACATTCTTTGATCTAGTCTCATAGGCTTCCAGTAACAATTTTCGGAAAGGCAATTGACATTTACCGAATGATGTTAAGTTAAGCAATAACAAGAAAAGGACTTTAGGGCAAGGCAAATAAAAATTTCAACAAGTTTCACCAATTGAATTTTAACTGTCTTGTGAGTATGTTCTATAAGACCAGAGGACTGGGGATGATAAATGCAATGGAAATGGTATATCAGCCAAGTTTTGCACACCTGATATAGAATTTGTCTAGTAAAATTTCTCTGATCCCTATGGGACTCTGGGGGATTTTCCAAGCAGGAAAAAAAAAAAAACCTCTCTAGAAGTATTTTAGTAACTATTGCAGCTGTTGCCCTTTGACAGGGGAATGTTTCCACTCAATGAGAATGATACCGATACACAGCCTGTCCAGACCACTGGGAGCAGGCTGAGGTCAGGGAACAGGAGGGGCCGCTGGGAGAGGTAGAGCTAGGTGATGGGAATGGGACCTGGGAGCCATTCGTGCAATGAGCCAAGCTCCTCGGAGGAAAGAGGTGAAATGCTCAAGTACTGAGGGCATAAGCTGATCAATGCTTCTGCGGACCACCCAGGGCCCTGGCAAACACATTGAGTTTCGCAGCCAGCACCAGGCTGAACTTCCACAGGACTATGACGCGGAGTTGTCTGAAAAATTGAGCACATGCCTTGCAGATGCCCTGTCCCGCCCCTGGCTGCAGATGCCTTGCCCTTCCTGCTGAGGCTACCCTTGGTGCTGCCTGGGAGGCTGTGCAGGGTCCCAGGGTTCCTTCCTCTGCCAGTGGGCCCAAGTGCAGGTAACTGGCTGCATGTGGGAACTAGGGCATGGGACGTGCAAAGTTGATAGAGTACCATGGGAGTCTCCCTCCAGGCCATGATGGCAGCAGGGGGAGGGTTTTACTCTGAACATGCAAAAGGCTAGCAGGATAACTGAATAAGGGGTTTTGTCCAACCCTTTACCCCTACCCTTTCAGTACCAGATTGGAGGTAGGACCAGGGGAAGGCAGGCATGTGCCATTGAAGTCAAAATGGCAGCAGAGGAGGGGTTGGACAAAAGAGATGAAAGTTTGGAAAGTTGATTGGTCATTTTAGAAAAGCACCTGGTCCGTCCCATACACATAACTAATATAGTACCAGGAGAACAAAGAAATGTGCTTGTCACTCGTTTGATTCACAGTCAGGGCACATGCCTGGGTTTTGGGCCAGGTCCCCAGTAGAGAAGCAACCCCACATGGATGTTCCTCTCCCTCTCTTTCTCCCTCCCTTCCTTTGTCTAAAAATAAGTAAATAAAATCTTTTAACAAAATAAAAAATAAAAATAAAAACTTCACAAGCAAATATAGAAATTTAAATGGTTAGAAGCAAAAAGTAGCTCTTTATTTTTTTTAATTTTTTTTTATTGATTATGCTGTTACAGTTGTTCTATTCCCCCTTTATTTCCCTCCACCCTACCCCCCATCCCCACCATCACCCCCCCTTTAGTTTATGACCATGTGTCTCAAGTCCTTTAGATTCCATATTTCCCATGCTATTCTTGCCCCCCATCTATTTTCTATCTACTGTCTATGCTACTTATTTTCTGTACCTTCTCCCCCCTTCTCCTCCTCCCACTCCCCTATTGCTAACCCTCCTTGAGATCTTCATTTCTATGTTTCCACTCCTGATCTAGCTGTCCTTTTAGTTTGCTTTCGTTTTAGGTGTGGTTGTTAATAACTGAGTTTGTTGTCCTTTCACTGTTCATGTTTCTTTAACTTCTTTTTCTTAGATAAGTCCCTTTAACGTTTCATATAATAAGGGCTTGGTGATGATGAACTCCTTGAATTTGATCTTATCTGAGAAGCACCTTATCTGTCCTTCCATTTTAAATGAAAGTTTTGCTGGATAGAGCAATCTTGGTTGTAGGTCTTTAGATTTCATGACTTGGAATACCTCTTTCCAGCCCCTTCTTGCCTGTAAGGTCTCTTTTGAGAAATCCGCTGACAGTCTGATGGGGACTCCTTTGTAGGTGACTGTCCCCTTATCTCTTGCTGCTTCTAGGATTCTCTCCTTCATTTTAATCTTGGCTAATGTAATTACGATGTGCCTTGGTGTGTTCCTTCTTGGATCCAACTTCTTTGGTACTCTCTGAGCTTCCTGGATTTCCTGGAAGTCTATTTCCTTTGCCAGATTGGGGAAATTCTCCTTTATTATTTGTTCAAATAAGTTTTCCACTGGTGGCTGTGCCTTTCCCCCTTCTGGTACCCCTATAATTCGGATGTTGGAGCGTTTAAAGATGTCCTGGAGGTTCCTAAGACTCTCCTGATTTCTTTGAATTCTTGCTTCTTGACTCTTTTCTGTTTGGCCATTATTTGCTTTCTTCTGGTCCATTCCATTGATTTGAGTCCCAGTTTCCTTTTCATTGCTATTGGTGTCCTGTGCAATTCCATTCATTTCAATTAGTTTCGCCTTCATATATTTGTCTAATTTGTCCGTATAATCAACCAGTTCTGTGAGGACCCTGATCACCAATTTTTTAAACTGTGCGTCTGTGAGTTTTGCTATTTCTTCATCGCTTAGATTTATTTCTGGGGCTCTGAGATCCTCCTGCGCCATTCTTGGTCTGTTCGGGCCCTTTAAGTGTGAGAAGCGGCGGCTTGGATTCCCAGGTCGCTGGGTTGTGACGCTGTATGTGGGGGCGTGGCCAGAGTGGGGAAATGGCGACCCCCTCTGCCACTTCTCACAGCTGGGTGCTGAGGAGCAGTGCCTTAGGTGGTTCACCTGGGCCGGGCCACTCAGAGTCGCTGGGTTATGACGCTGTATGTGGAGGTGGGGTCAGAGCAGGGAAATGGCGGCGCCCTCCACTGCCGCTTGCCGTGGGGACCTGCCGGCCCAGTCCAACCGCCCACTCCCTCGCCTGTCCACCCTCGCACAAATGCGCGACCTCAGTCAACACGCAGCCCCGGGCCCGGCTGTCTCCCCCGAGGTCACTCGCCTGGTTGCTCGCTGGGTCGCTCACTAGGTCTGACCCTGCGCCTGGATTCCGCGGGCCTGAGTGTGTCTGGCCGAGTCCTCCTGTGCAACCCTGCTCCGCCAGCCGCTGGTTTCGCCCCTTACCGGTCAGGCTGAAGAATTTGTTGTTAACGGACTTCCGAAAAGTTCAATTTTCCGTGTTCTGGCTGTGTTTTCTGTTGCTAACATTTAGTTTTCTCTAATCTTGGTTGTGGGAGAAGGCACGGCACATCCACCTATGCCTCCATCTTGGCGGAAGTCCAAAAGTAGCTCTTTAAATGTTAAATTTTTGTTCACCTAAGCAATTAAAGATCTCATGATGCAGATGGAGCACATAAAATCTTTATTTTCCCTTCATAATTTCCTGTTAAGAGCATAACCAATAGTATATATTTTTGTCCTTTTAACAGAAAGATAAATCCAAAGTCTGATTCTGTGTCAGTTCCTTTAGAAAGTAAATAAATTCATTCCAATTTTAGTTTGACTGTACACCAGATTTTTAAAAATATTCCTTTCCCATAAGCTTTCTGCAACATACGCAAGCTTTCTGCAAATTTTAAAACCTTTAAGCTTTTTTCCTATTTTTTCTTTCTTATTCCAGAACAATTATTTACTTACGACAAAATTACTTTATTTTCCTTCAATAAAAATGTATTTCTGGGCTTCCAGCCAAGATGGAGGCATAGGTAGGTATACTTTGCCTCCTTGTACAACCAAAAGAAGGAGCACTATAAATTTAAAAACAAAAACTAACCAGAACTTCCATAAAATTGAACTGTATGGAAGTCCAACAACCAAGGAGTTAAAGAAGAAACATTCATTCAGACCAGCAGGACGGACAGGAAGCCAGGGAGGAGAGGACATGTGGCAAGGTGGCAGCTGGTGGACAGACTGGAATGGGCAAAGCAGCAACTGCAGGACCAGGTGGTCCCACGTTTGCATGTAGATAACCAAGAAGAACAACTGGGGAGTGAGACAGACCGCACAAGCCAGGGTTCTGGTACAAGGAAATAAAGTCTCAAAATCCCTGGCTGTAAAAACCCATGGGGGTTGTGGTAGCAAGAGAAACCAGCCTCACAGGAGTTCATTGGAGAGACTCACAGGGTCCTAAAACATTCACAAACCCACCCACTTGGGAATCAGCACAAGAAGGGCCCAGTTTGTTTGTGGGTATCAGAGAAGTGACTGAAAGCCAGCAGAGAGCCAAGAAAGTGGTTTTGTTCCCTCTCAGACCCCTCCCCCACATATAGCTCCAGGGTGGGTTGTCTCACCCTGGTGAATACCTAAGGCTCTGCCTCTTACAACATAACAGCTGCACCAAGACAAATATATATATATATATATCCCTAATGA